CCATCCGGATAGCAGACCTTTGTTCACCAGGAGAGAGACCCATCGGCAACACCAGTTCTCATCGGCACCTGGACCCCAAGCCCCTGCCGCCAGGCCACCCCTCCTGTTCACTACAGCGGTTCAGCAGCCGCTAGGGGACCTTCTGGGACTGGGATCCGCCCTCACCGGTCCAGTTGAAGATGCCCGTAGGAAACCCTTCAGCACCTCTGCTGAGTAATTAAACTCACTTGCACCTTCTGTTTCTGCAGGGGTGTCGACAGCCGGAGGCAGGAGCCCGAGCACCCCGCTCTGGAGGAGCCTCAGCCGGGTCTGCCCCCGCCCCCTGTCCACTCTGCGTGAGCTCCTTCACCGGCAAGGGCCCAGAGTCCTCCCGAACCCATTGTACAGACGGCCACCCTGAACCAAAGGTGGCTCACAGGGTCAGACAACAGGGAGGGTCCGAGTTGAGATTTAAAAGCAACTGTTTGAGCCGGAACTTCCGAAATCTGTCCTTGGAGACACTGTCAGCCTGGGGAACCCAAGGCCACCTACGGCCCCCTGAAGAGGCTGGTTTAACCCGGCTCCTCCCTGAGGCTGATGCCTGAGTTCTGGGGTGGGGCCTTGGGATCTGAATTTTTGCAGGGTTGGCGTCTCCACTCCCAGAGGTCTAGAGAAGGGGAAACCTGTGGCTGGGGCCACACAGCAGGACAGGCCTGAGCCCAGATCCCCTCACTCGGGCTGGCTCCCTAGCCGCCTGCTCACCCCCGGCCGGGCTGGGAGGGTGCCCCCTGCTTCTGAGTCCAAGCCGAAGGGCGGTGGTCTGGCTCTGCACGCACGCTCCGCAGCCCAGGAGAGGCCTGCCCCTTTCCGGCCTCTCCCCAGCTCCTTCTGACCACGGGAACTGCGGCCGAGCATGGAGGAACCTTGCTGCTGATAGTTCTGAGTCTAAAAATACATTTTGGAAAGATTTATAACCCAGAACCTCCACCCGCATTGCCTCTTTTTCACAGACCACATGTCCCTGGAGAAGCGTGAGGCTGTCGGCCAGCAAGGCCCCCGCCTCACGTGGGCTGAATTGGAGGTGGGGCTGGGGGGTACAAACTCGCTTCCATTTGATTGACTTGGCTGGCAGAGCATACTGTAGTAACATCTATTTTTCACTAAATGTACAATAATTAATGGTCGACTTTCCACCCAGGGCCTGTCACCTTCCTGCTCTGGCCACACAGTGATTCTGTCAGCCCGCACATTTATTGAGCACCTACTGTGTGCCAGGCCCTGTTTAGTGTTAGTAAAGAAGACAGGGCAGGTCCCTGCCTCAGTGGAGAGAGGCGACAAACGTCACTCTAGGAGCTGAAAGAGAGCAGGGCATGGGGACATGGTGGGGGCTCTCTACCCAACACAGGGAAGGCCAGTCAAGCCCCATTTGAGGAAGTGAGAATTGAGCAAGAACCTGATGTTCCGTGCAAGGCTGAGTGGGAGAGCTTCACAGGCAGGGGGAGCAGCCAGTGCAAAGGCCCTGAGGTAGGAATGAGCTTGGAGTATGAGGCTGCCACCAGGTCACCTCGGGCTCAGAGGTTCTGAACTTAGGTTTCATTCCAAGCAAGGGAGGAGCCAGTTGACAGCTCCGCCCTCCCCACCAGTCTTCGCCCAGGAGCTTTGGAACCTGCAATGGGAGCTGCCATCCTAGAACTACACGCCCCTGGCCCCCAGGCCCACGCCCCCCCCCCCCCCCCCCCCCCCCCCCCCCCCGCCACAGCCTCACTCCCCAGAAGGTCTACACAGCTGCTTCCTCAGCCCACCCCACCTGACTCACCCTGAGCTCCAGCCTTGCTCCCCACCCTACCCCAGGTCCAGGCAGCCTCCTGTCACTGAATTCAACACATTCCAGGGCGGGGACAACAGAGGTGACTTTCTTTTGTTTTTTACCTGTGGGGGTTTCTAATTTTTCCACACTAAACTTGTCTTGTGTAAGAAATTACAAAACGTGCACAAAATCAAAACTCCCCCACGCACTTCTCAGCGACCTGGCTTGATCCCTGGTCCCATGTGAACCGCCTCCCCCCGCCCAATCCTGTCCTCCCACTGCTGTGGCCTTGGGCCCCAGCTGCCCTTAAAGGAGGGGAGTCTGAGAAAAGCCCTCAGGGCGGCCTCCCAGGAAGGGGCGGGGCCTGGGGCTCTGCGGCACATGAGGAGTTTGAAAAAGCACATTCTGTGCTGTAATTTTATCCTCAGGAAATGAACTAGAACAGACTCAGACCCGACTGCTGAGGCAGTGCAGGCTCCGAGACATGGGCATCACGTACGCATTTACTGGGCCATGACTTCTCTCTGGTCCTCCCCAGTTGCCCTGGGAGCCCCCGGGGGTCAGGGCGGTGTGTCTGCCTTGTCCCCACACCAGGCACAGATGCTCAGTCACCAGCTGTGCACCACCGGAGGGTGGCATCCCGGGCAGCAGGGAAAGGCACGTCTCTTCAGGGAGAGGTGCTTTTCAGGAGAGATGTGGTTTTTCAGTTTTGAAACCCGGAAGCACGTGACCCCATGTCCCCCAGGGCCTGCCTTCACCCCTTCCTCACTGTCCCCCCCGCCCAATGCTGATTTGAGCAGGCCTTGGCATGAACAGGACAGAGCCTGGACCTACCCTCCGGGTGCTCCCGGTGGGAGGTCGCCCCCTGGCACCCACAGTCCCAGGCCTCCGTGGCAGACCAGCGCCAGAGCCCACCCCTCCACTGCTCCCCACACACTGGACCTTTGTCCCCAAACCGAAACCCCAGCCTGAACACTGGCTCCCCCAAACTGGCCCCCCTTAGACGCTCTCCCTGCAGGACGCACAGCTAGAGGCCTCACGCCTCCCCTCCTCCCGGGCCCACTGCCGCCCCCACGGACCTCCATCAGCTCTCTCATCTGCATCCCTGCAGGGGCTGCCCAAATGCGCGGCCCCCTTCCAAGAAGCTTTCTGAGGCTCCACTACCGAGTGCCGAGTGCCGTGTCTGAGGCTGCTGGTCCCCCTCCCAAGGACCCCCAGGGAGTCAGGGCTCAGCAACCTGCTCCAAGCATGACAGTAACTTAAAGCACCTGCGTTCTCTTAAAAACAAAACAAAGCTGATTGTCCTTGTTTCCTCATCAATTGCCCCATAGTAATTTTCTGACTTACCACCCTGTTGAGGTACTTTCCTCTCAAACCTCCAAAAACAGGGGTGGAAGCTGTAGGCATTTGTCCTTCACCTCCCGAGGCCTCGGCAGCCCAGGGACACCCCATTCCTAGCAGTGAGTAACTCGGAGGTGCGTTGTCCAGTCTAATCGCCATGGCCTGGGTGGGGTGCCTCCAGCCACCTAATTATCCCCACAGTCAACACCTGCCCCTGTTTGGGGTCTGGGCTTCTCCTGGGCCCCCTGCTAATGCTTCTCTGACTCCTGTGCCATTCTCCCACCACCCCACCTGCCTCCTCAAGGCCTGAGCTGCGTCAGTGGCTGGCGATATTCAAACCCAGGCCTCCAGACCCCTAGTTCAGGGCCCACTAGCCATCACGAGCACTGGACTAGGAGTCAGCAGACCTGGGGTTGGGTCTCCGCTTAGTGAACGTTGTATTTCAATTCTAGGAAAAATAAAGGGAAACCACACATGACGGCTGGATTCGCGGGGGGGCCTATCACCGTGTTTCTACTTACATCCGCCTGACCTATATCCCCTGGCACCAAATAGCTATAATCTTTCAAATCTGTCTACGAGATACACACCCAGGTAATCCTCATCATGATTTCAGAAACGTAAAATGAGAAATAAAGAACTGTGTGATCTGGAACCCAGACCCGGCAGAGGGAGGTCACCACCGCAGGACGGTGAAGAAGGAAGTTGGCCCCGGCCGGACGGTGTTACCCGACTGTCACTGCGAAGGAGAAAGCATCTGGCCGAGCCCAGCCCCAACTGGACGGGCCGGACTTCACGAGGCGCTGGGGAAGGAGGGCAGGGCAATTCGCTGACCCGGACCCCCACACCCCAGGGACGGGCCCCTCGCCACTGTCAATCTCAGGGACTCTCCTGGGGGGCGGCTGCTTACCCCTCCTCCTCCCGCCGCCCAGCCACCCACGGTGACCAGAGCAGAGCACACTCCCTCCCCTCCGCCCGGCTCGCCCCGTCCCCAGGCCCCCTCCAGGGCCGCGGCCCCGGCGCCCGCCTCTCGGCCACACAGCGCCCTAGCCGCCGCCGAGGGACGCGCCGCGGTGGGGCCTGTGCCGCCCCGTCCAGGAACCTCCCCTGCGACCCCGCGGTGCCGGCCCTGCCTCGGCCCCACGGCCCCCTTCGTTTTCCAGTCCGCTCCCCGCCTCCCGGAACGCCGGAGCGCTCAGACCCTGAGATCCCGCGTGGCAGGCCGGGCGGCCAGGAGCCCCAGAGGACACCCAGGGTGGGCGCGCAGGCGGGACGCGCCCAGGCCGCCCGAGGAGTATGACAACTAGTTGTGCCCGAGCCTGCAGGCCTTGTGGGTCCCGGCGCTCCCCGCCGCTATCGAGGGAGTATCCCCATTATACAGGCGAGGACGCTGAGGTTCAGCGGCGGGGCGGGGGTTTGGGATCGGAATCCAGCTCCCAGGTCCCAGGTCCCAGGTCCCGGGCCCAGTCCGGAGCGGGCACACCACCCAACCCTGCCTCCCGCCCAGCTGGCCCGCATCGCGCACGCCGGGAGGCTCCCGGGCCGCGCAGGCCGCGATCAGGCCATGGGCTCCCCGGCCCGGCCCCTCCAGCCCGCCGCGGCGCCCACCCGCTGGCTCTCCCGGCAGGCCGGCGCGGGCGGGCGCAAGAAGCACACTCTTTGTCTGCGGCGCCCCTGCGCCTCCCCCGCCCGCCCGTCGGCCCCCCATCCCCCGGGCACGCCCAGCCAATGAGGGGCGGCGGCGGCGCGCAGGCCCCGGGGTGTTGTCCGCGCCTCGCCTGCCCATTGGCTGAGCTCCGGGCCCCGCCCGAGCCCGGCCGGCCGGCCCGAGGGGCGGGGCGTGCGGCCCGAGGTGAGGGACCACCGGCGGCAGGCGCACCGCCGGCAGGGTGAGCGAGCCGCCAGCGAAGGACGCGTGCGGGGCGAGGAGCCGCGCGCTGAGCTGCTGCCGCCGCCGCCGCGCCCGACCCCGGCCCGCCCCGGGCTCCGCGCCAGGAGGCGGCGGCCAGGCCGAGTCCCAGCCCGGCGAGCCCGGGGGGACCTCGACGGCACCCAGACCGGGAAGGGGCCGGAGAGGGAGAAGGACGAGGACGAAGGGCGGCTCGCCGGGGCCCCGGCAATGGCGCTCGACTTCCTGGCTGGATGCGCTGGGGGTAAGGAGGCGGGAGGGTCCGGCCGGGGCGCGACCGGGGGCCAGGGACGCCGGGCGCACGGATCTCGGGGGCCGAAACGAGGCGTCCGGGGAGGGAGGCCAGCTCCCCCGCGAGCGCTCGGCCCAGTGGCCTTCCCTCTGGCTGCGGTTTCCTCGTCTGTAAAATGGGGATCACAAAGCTCTCGTCTCACGGGGCTCTCGTGGGCGTGGATTGACATCAGGCCCGAGGGCGCCTAGCGCACTGGTGGCGAGGGCGAGTGTCAATTTTAAGTCCTTCGGGCACGTTCGGACGGGAAGTCTGGGGCCCTGGGGCAGCACCGTGGCTTGGCGGAGACCGGGACTGCCAGGAGGATGCCTCCCCTGTGCCATCCTCGCCCCAGGCTGGCGGACGCAGAGGCCCCGGCACATCTTTCCCACCCCTTGCCCCCTCCCCAGCCCGCCCTCACCCGGAGCAAGGTCCCCTCTCCTGCAGCCAGGTCCCCTCTCCTGCAGCCGTCTAGGCAGGGTTGGGGCTACCGGACGACCCCCTAGCGGGCTCGCCTGGAGGGCACTAAAAGGCACTGGCGGGACCCCAGGTTGGACCCCAGGCGCCGAGTCACGCTTTGGCAAGCCGCCCCCTCCCTACGCGATTCAGTGAGCTGCGGGGGGCCCCCGACTCCACCTGGGTGGTGGAGTGCGCCTGACACGCCGCGTGGGCCAGCCCTTGGGCTCACGCGTGGGCATCACCCGCGTGGGGCACCTTCATCTAGGCCAGGCCACGACGCTGGGGGCCTCCCCAACCCCGTGTCCCCGGGAAGGCAGGAGTCAGTGTGCAGTCCTGCCTCTACTGTAGCCGACCCGTGACCGTGACCGTGGGCGTGGACGTCGGGCAGGGCACTTCCTTGTCTGTCCTTTCGTTTCTCTGCTTTTACGTGGACAGTTAATTTATTCAACAGGTATTAACTGGGAGCCAGGTTTGGCTGTCAGGGCTTCTGAGATGAGCTCACTGACGTGGCAGGTCCTGCCTCACGCAGAGGGCTGGCTGGGTGTCCCCAGGCCTGGTCCAGCTCCCATGTGGGGCGCGCCTCTCCTCCAGCACCTGCCCTTGCTTTTGCTCTTCATCTGCTTGGATCTGGCTCCAGTAAAGCCATCAGCTACCTGCCAGCGGGGGGCGCCCTGGAGGAAGAGGAGAGAGCAGCAGTGGCACACCCTGCGTGAGCTTCCTGCTCTGGACAAGAGGAGGGTGGTGGAGAAGGGAGTGTGCCAGGGAAGTCATGTGTGTGACGGGACTTAAGAACTCCCCAGACAGTTACCCAATCAGGCCCCAGGAAACTGCGGGCTGGAGCTTCCCGGAGGGGGAGAAACCTCAGAGCTTTGGGTAAATCAGTAGAGCGTTTCTCCCGAGCCCAGGGTGGCAGAGGAGACAGGAGTGGTCGCCCTCTGTGGATCCAGCTTTCAACACCTCCCCGCCCCCACCCGGCTCTCTGCTCTTCCCATCCCCTGGAGCCTGCCACCATGCCTGCTGGCTCCTCTTGGGCCCCAGACCCTCCTCTGCCCACCTCCAGAGGTTGCTGGGTCCCTGGGCCAGTGTCCCTTTCCAGCTTCTTGGTGAGTGTGGCTTCTTTTCCCAGGGAGCCAGGTTGCCTTCTGTATTCGCCCAGGCGTCCTGGGAGCCGTGGGGTTTGGGGTAGAATACTCATCCTAAGGCCAGGCCTACGTAGAGAGCCCCCAGCCACAGGTGTTCAGTCACTCTGGGCTCTTGCTCACACAGGGCCCTGTCTGGAATGCCTTCTGCCCATCCGCACCACGCCCACCTGGGGAGATCCTGTCCAGGCCCCAGGGTTGGGGCGAGGCCAGGGTCCAGCACCCTGCCGAGCTGGAGGTGCAATCACCCTCCATCGTCCATACGTCCGCCCCTCGCTGCCCCACCTGGCTGCAAGTCTGGGGTCGTGCCCACCTACTTCTCCATTGTGTTAGCAGAGATGGGAGGGGACAGAGGGTCATCAGCCCCCAACGCGGGGACCCTCTCTTGGTCTTATTTGACCCGGGAGAAACCTAGGCCCTGAGAAGTGGACAGACTAGTACGAGTGGCGTCGTATTGTGCACTCCTCCAACTGGGCGGGGGCGGGGCGGGGCGGGGGCTGGCCTCTCCCCTTCCCCCAGCCTCTGGGGCCTATGGGCCGGCCCATGGCACAGCGACCAGATTGTGTCCCAGGCCTGCCTTCCGGGCCCCTGGCACGGCCTAGCCAGTGCAGAGAGGCCGTCCAAGAACCATGCGAAGGCGGCACCCCAACCTTGGGGCCTGACCCCCAGAGGCCCCGGGCTGGTTCCTTCGGGTTTGGGCTCCTCAAGGCCTGGAGGCTCAGGGCAGAGGATGGCTGTGCTTCTTTTGGGGCCTGCGGTCGCTCTTGATTCACATTCCCAGGAGGGAGGAGGGTACCTCACCTCTGATTGGATGAATATGGGTCGCGTGTTCAACCTCGCCCTCGGGGAGGCGGGGCGGAGCCTTGATTGACAGCAGCCCCCGAGGCCTTGTGTGGTGGAAGGGTCGCTGCGCTCCCCAGCAGGGGTCAGTCCCAAGTCCTGAGCCCGCGTAGACCCTGGGCTCTGGATGCGGTCTCCCTGCCGCAGGCATGGAGAGGAGGAGGTGCAGAGAGAAGCTCACCGGTGGGCCGGGGACCCCGTGTCGGGAGGATGGGTCAGTATCCTGCTGTCCCCTCCTACCACCCCTGCTGCCAGATGCCTCCAGGACAGTGGTCCGCCCTCCTGCCGTGGAGGGTCACAGGATGTGGGTGCCCCTGAGAGCCCAGCGTATGTAAGGTGTTGGGTGCTGGCTCTGGAATTGGGACACAGGGGCCCCTTCTGCGTAACTGGAGGTCTCAGTGTCGTCTCAGGGAGATGGCAGTGCTTCCTGGCTCTCAAGGTGACTGTGAGGTTAAAGGATAATAAGGTTTTGGGCGCCTGGAGGTCCTGACGGAGGCAAGAACCACAGCCCACTCTGTTTCTGTGGATGGGAATGTTCTGGGTGAGGGGGGACCTGGCCCCTTGCCTGAGGGCACTGAACCAAGTGGAGGGAGAAAGTGAGAATGCAAATGCCTGCCCTTGGAGTCCTTGTGTAGGGCCTCCCAACAGAGGCTGGAGGGCGAGGCTCTGCCCCTCCCGTCCCAGAGGCTGACGGAGGCTGTGGCTGGCACTCGGGCAAGCCTGGGCCAGCGGCAGGACCGTCCACCCACAGGAAGGGAACCTCCAGCGCTTCCAGCATATGCTTCTTGGGGACCCCACAGCAGGGCCTGGCTGCCGGGGGCATGGAGGGCTGGGGGGTCCCACAGTTGGAGAGAGAAGGAAGGGAAAGCAGCACACCCCAGGCAAAGGTTAGGTTTCCAAAACCTAAGAAAAACCAGTTACAGCCCAAGAACAGATGTTCTAGAACTAGGATTTTCAAATTGAGAAAATTCAAAATGTGAAATTAAAAAGAAGGTGGGTCTCAAAGGACAGAAACAAAGCATGTCTCAGAAGACCAGAAACACAGACAGGGGCTCTCGAGGGAAAAGACGGGCCTGGGGGGATCTTTTCATCCCCCTGTGAGTGTGAGGGGTTCCCGAAGGAGAAAAAGCCCTGCAGACGATGAATGTGAAGAATACACAATAGTGGAAATTTCCTCAGATCAGAAACAGGGCCTGGCTGCCGGGGGCATGGAGGGCTGGGGGGTCCCACAGTTGGAGAGAGAAGGAAGGGAAAGCAGCACACCCCAGGCAAAGGTTAGGTTTCCAAAACCTAAGAAAAACCAGTTACAGCCCAAGAACAGATGTTCTAGAACTAGGATTTTCAAATTGAGAAAATTCAAAATGTGAAATTAAAAAGAAGGTGGGTCTCAAAGGACAGAAACAAAGCATGTCTCAGAAGACCAGAAACACAGACAGGGGCTCTCGAGGGAAAAGACGGGCCTGGGGGGATCTTTTCATCCCCCTGTGAGTGTGAGGGGTTCCCGAAGGAGAAAAAGCCCTGCAGACGATGAATGTGAAGAATACACAATAGTGGAAATTTCCTCAGATCAGATCTGCAGAATGAAAGAGCTGGAAGAATTCCAGGCAGTATTATTTTAAAGAAAAAAGACACACCCTTGGCATCACCTGGTGACATTCCTGAAAGTTACAGATAAAATTTCAGAGGCTTCTCGACAGAACAAATAAATTATAGACAAAGGAGAAGAAACCTACTGTCAGCGGATTTCTCATCCGCAAGTGGCCCTGGAAGCCAGAAGATTCTGGGACACCGCCACCCTAATGACCTGGGCCCGGAACCCTTGCCAGAGCACAGAGCTGTTCCCCGACGGCATAAAAGAAATGGACTTTGCAGATGAGCTGGAATTCAGAGGGCATCCCCGCTATGTTGCACCCAGGAAGGCTCCGTGGAATGGCAGTGGATCGGAATAGAGCCCCCAAGACGGGGGGAGAAATAGTGATTTGCCTGAACCAGCAAAAATGTGGGAAGAAAAAAGTGAAACAAATCATTCACATAAAATAGGATGGAATCATGTCAGATCTCTCTGTTGTTTCGGCAAAATCGGAGACTGCTTCACAGTGGGGTAGAAACCGAAACCCAGCTGTAGGTTGTTCACAGGAACATCTAAAACGAAAGAGAAAGAAAAGGTTGAAAATTAAGAGTTAGGCAAAACTATACCAGGCACACATAACCACAAAGAAAGTGGACGGGCAAAGTTAATATCAGACCAAGTGGATTTTAAGGTCCAAAGCATTAAGCAAGATGCAGAGGGCATTAAATAAAGATAAAAAATACCATTTGTGAAGAAGCGTAGTAACTCCCACTAACCTTTGGGCATCCACCGCTGTAGTAACCAGTTCTACCGGGGAGGCAGGAGAGATGAGTGGTTAAGGAGGAGGGCGCCAGGGCCAGAAGGTCTGGGTTCGAATCCCGGCTCCACCATTACTAGCTGTGTCGTGTGGACCTATTACTTCTCTGTGCCTCGGTTTCCTCATCTGTAAAATGGGCTAACAGTCCTTTCTTTACAGGTGTATAAGAGGGAGAATTAGGACACATACAAAACTAAGAATAATAACCAGGTAGAAACATTACTGTTTGGTATTCAAGAAACATTAGGTGTTTTAATTATACATAAACACTCGTAGTGATAAAAGGAGAACTTCAAGATGGCCACAGCCTGCTTCTCCTTCCATGAAGCAGGCTAACAGGCTGCCTGATCCACAGGGATGTTTACAAGCCGCACAGCACACAGCACCCTGAGAAGCGTCTGTGAGCCTTTTTGGAGGGGTGAGCCTTTGTCTTTGGGGGGGCTCGATTCTGACAGGGCTGACCCATAACCACGCATGAGCACAGAGTCACGAGCTGCCTCTCCGAGCCCGAGTTGGCTCTCATGCAGGGAAGGGAGCCGGCAGCCAGCCCCTGCGAGGCGCCAGCTCCTGGGTCGGTGCGTCCCTGGGCTGCCCTGGGGAGGTCAATGCTCACAGCCTGCAGGTGAGGAGAGTGAGGCACAGACACCGAGTCCTTTCTGAGCTCAGCCGGCTGGTAAGTGCCAGAGAGAAAATGAAACTGGGTGAGGGCCAAGCCCCACTGCCAAAACCCCTGGAGCCCCATGCCCACGCCGGGGGGCGTCTGGAACGCTGGGACCCTCTTAGAAAGAGCACGTGCAGCTCAACGGTGGGTCAAGGAAGAGAGACAGATCCCGGCTTGACTCTGGGGATGTCCCTCTCCCGTCCCCCACGCCCGCACCCCCCAGCCATGACTCAAGAGCTCGCGGATGCACTGGGCACACGGCAGGTACATGTCTCCCGCATGGTCCTCCCTGCCGCACTGCCCCACACGGTGGTTTCCGAGGCATTCGGGTCACAAGTCCTTTCTTCCCCCAGGTGTGGCCGGCGTGCTGGTGGGACACCCGTTTGACACTGTCAAGGTGAGTTTCTTGTTGCGGCTCTATCCTGAGGCCCATGGAGGTCAGGCATTGGAGAGAGCCCGGCGGGGCGGCAGCTCAAGGCCTCTTTCCGGTGACCACCTTGGCCACACCTGCAAGGGCTTCCTACAGGTTCTAGAATACAGGTGGGACCAGGGGTTTCTGAGCCGAGTGGGCCTTCCTCGCGGGTTTGCCCCTGCATTTGCCAGCTGGGGCTGAGCTTGGAGTCCACCCTGGGGCCTGGCCGGCTGATGGAGGGGCCGAAGGGCAGGTCTCCTGTCACCCGGAGCAGGGGACACCCACGCTGTTCTTATGCAGAACTCAAGACAGAAAAGCTCAGAGGGAAAATACAGAAAAGTCACAACTTGTCTGTACTTTTCACGGAGCGGTGTCTGTCCCTGTGGAGGAGCTGAGGAGTCATTGCCCCAGGGCTGCTGAGCACCAGCCAGGTGTCTGGCTCCCGCGGGTGGCCGGGGCGGGCACTCTGTTCCTCCTCCATAAGCCCGGCACCTCGACACTGTCTAGCTCCCCGTCCTCAGCCCCTCAGAACAGGAACCGGGGAAATCCATGCTTCCAGTTGGAAATTCCCAGCCAGGACTTTCCCCAGTTGTTGCGGTTTTCTGTCCGTAACCAGCCAAGTGGGGACCCTGCCTGCCGGCTTCACCTGGGAGCCAGGGCGAGCTGGGAGCAGCTGGGCACTAGGCCAGACCTTGTGTCCCGCTGTAAACGCTAAAGTCGGCACCTCTTCCTGTTGGGGCGAGGGCACAGCTGGGTTTGAGGTGACTTCCTTCCCGTCTCCTCTTTCTTTAGGAACTCAGGTGCCCTCTGACCAAGAAAAGCATTTCCTCCAGCACAGGCTTCAGGGCCGACCTTAAAAAGTTCTGTCCTTGGGCCTGGTGCAGGTTCAGGCCCCCCTGCCGGCTGGACCTGCTGAGTGACAGTGGGCCAGTCACCTTACTTCTGGGCCCAGACATTCTCAGCTGCAAAATGAATGGATGGGCAAGACGACCGAGGCCCTGGAGGTGCCTGGCGCCCCACAGGAGAGTGTGTTGGTGAAATGCTGGTGCTGTAGAGCACGGCTCTCCTCCCGGGTCACTGTAGGCCAGTTTGTGGAGGAGGTGGAAGGGCCACACGGCAGCCCCCAAGTTCCCTGCACAGGCCGTGAGGGAGCCAGTCCACACAACTGCCCGGCCTTGCCCAGCTGGCCACCCATGAGGCCTGCCCACAGTCTGGAGCGGCCCAGGACAGCCTGGCAGTGTCCACGTTACACTGTGTCTCTATCTTGTGGTCATGTGTTGTTAATGCCTCTTGAAGCTGCCCAGCCAAGAAATGCCTGGATTCACCTCCTCAGCCCAGCTTTCCCGAGGCCTCTCTGGGCTGTGACTCGGCCCAGGCCTGGCCAGGCCTTCTGCAGCTCCCACTGGCCCCCTCGGTCAGTCCCCACCGGGCTGGGGAGCACTTTGCCTGGTGCCTCCACCTCCCTCTGAGCTCCCGAGCCCTGACCAGCAGCCCCTCAGTAATTCGGCTGCAGGAGTCTCTCCACCCCACGGGGTTCCTGCCCCCTGGCCCCCTTCCCTGGAGGATGGTCTTTGAGGAAATCCATTTGTGACCATTTTTTTTTTTTGCCACTGTGGCCCACTGGCATCACATCTGGGCAAACCCATCTTAAAAAGCCAAGTTTTTATTATGAAGGGGGGGAAACCCGCCCCCTCTAGTCATCGCTGTCACTCAACTCTGTGACCCCTCTTGTCCCGCCCGTGGCCTCACACGACTGTGCTGTGCTGAGTGTGGAGCACACACATTTGGTTTAATTTAATGCTGTATTGCCAATGGCCTTATTTTTTTACTGGCTGTTTTCCATTATAAAAGTTAAACATTCTCATTAAAAGAAAATTGGGAAATAGAGAAACGCAAATTCTTTCCTTCCACCAGACACATGCGTTTTCACATTTTTTGCATTCCCTTCAGAATCCCCCTGCACCACTGTGCCCCCGTCGGCATGCAGTATTTTTTAAATGTGTTTTAATCATCAGATACATACACATTTTTTTTGTTGGCTTTCTACTACAAAAGTAATGTAGGTTGTAAAAAAAATTGTAACCATAATAGAGACATACTAACAAGAAAAAAAACACTCCTTCATATAGGCTTTCCCCCACCCTTGCTAATGATTCTAGTGAAAAACAGAAATGCACACAGACCCAAAGTATTCCTTGCTTTTGGCAAAAGTGAGGTCTACTTCCTAGCTCTGCGGTTGTTGTTGTTTTAATTGAAATTTAACTCATGTGGAAGATGCCCACGTGCTAAGTATAAAATCTGTGCATGGTCCTGAAGCACACGCCTGGGAAGAGGCGGGAACAAGGCCAGCCCCCGAGGCCCCGGCTCCCTACGAAACTCCCCCTCCCCTCCTCCAGCCGCCCACCGTCCTAACTTCTGACAACGTGGTCCATTTTGCCTTTGCTCGAACCTCATCTAATGGGACCTGTGCTCCGGAACATGTGAGGGGACACCGTGTTCCGTGTCAGTCCACACTGCCTCATGGCCGGGACATTTGCAGGTCGTTCCTCCAGGCCCTGGGGACCAAAATTTGAGTCCAAAATTTGGTTTTCCTCTGTTGTGCTCAAAACTGAAGCCCCAGTCCTCAGACACCGCCTTCACACGTGTTTCTGTACGAAGGTAGTCTTCAGTCCTGCTTCAAGGGACACGACAGTGATCAGGGACACTGAGTCCGCTGTCCGGGGCGGGGAGGGGTGGGGAGGCCGGGGGCTGGCGGCGGGGCTCCGCACCTTGGACGCGATGTTGAAATGTTGTGTTGTTTTAACGGCCTTTACTTTCTGAGCCAGGGGCGGTCTCCATCCATAGCAAAGTGTAACTTTGTTGTAGATGAGCGTAAGCCTCACCCCGGAGAGCGCTAGTAAGTACAGACCAGGTGAACCCGCCGCTTCTCTTCTCTGTCCCGGCCTGGACCCCACCCCCAGAGTTCCCTTGGAGACCAGCAGGGGACAGGGAGGGTGTGAGGTGATCCTGGGCCCGGCTCAGGTCCTGGGTGGGGGTCCTGGGTGGAGCTGGTCGAGAAAAATCAGCCTCCTCTGGAGCAGCGGGTCTTCATGTTGGGGTCTCCCAGCCCTGTGGGCAGCTGGGAGCCTCGTGGGCTTGTGTGTGAATGACCGCTTTCCAGGGGTGGGTCCATCACTCCTCAGACAAGAGCCTGTCACCCCAAAATGGCAAGAACCTCCACGCTAGACATTACAAGACTTGGGCCACCGGGCCGCATTTCACCCCCAAACCTGGTCCCCCAGACTGCCAGAGACCAGGGGCTCATCCCAGACCCAGGCGTAGGGAACAAAGGGGAGCGGAGCTCTGGGGTCCCTTGTGGGCATGAAACAGTATCCACCCTGCCGCCTGGGGGACCGAAAATCCCACCCGAGCAGGGGACACATCCTTTCTGCTAATAGCCCTCTTAGTGCCAGTGTCGGGGGCCGCCCGAGGAAGAAAAACGTCCCACCAGAGACCTCGGAACATTGGAGGGAAAATGAAAAACCTTGAATCACAAAAAGAACCTGAGCCAGAGCTCATGGTGGTGATGTTATTCAAGTGCATCGAGTGGGTTTGCTTGTCTCTGAAAATTCACCCCTCCCCTGCCAGGTCCTGGCAGAGCTGGGCAGCCGGGGCGGAAGGGGTGCTGGGGTGAGCCGCCACAGGATGCACCCGTCTGTCAGCTGCTTGTCAGCAGCGGCTACCAGCTGTTAAGGTCCTCGTGTGCAGAGATGGGACTTTTCTTTACAAGACGATTTCTGTAAGTGCATTTGCCAATAGAAAACCCACCTGTTCTCACCAGCCGGCACCCCCACCCCTGGCCCCAGCCACCACAGCTGCCCATGTCCCCGGAGAGGACAGCTTTGGCTGAGTGGGTTGCAAAACATCTCTGAGCCTCGGTCTTCCCATCTTTGAAATGGGAGTGGCCGAACCCCCCTCAGCCAATGATTACTATGTGCAAAGCCCCTCGGGTGCTGCCCGGCACAGAGGGACACCTGTGCCACGGCCCTGCCTGCAGTGATGATTTCTGAGTCAGAGCTGGGGACCAGCTCCTAAGAATGTGACTTAACCTAACTCACCCCCCACCCCATGATCCGGATTTTGAGTTCAGGATGTGCCTCTCGTTCCACGCTGTGGGGCCTGCGTATCAAGCACAGATAAGCTCTCGGTCAACAAAGAACGCTTTCACAGTAAGAGGTTCTGGACCGCTGGGCTCCAAGGGTGTCTGGGCCTGACCCCCAGGTCCCGCAGTTGCTGATGTGGTCCCCAAGAAGGCTGTCAGCTGCTCTCCTGTCACCGCTTTACTAATTCATGACCACTGTCCTCACAAGGGGCAGAAACCACGCAGGCGTCCCTTGGAGCCCGAGGGTGCCTCGCTGCCAGCCCCTGATGCACGGAGTTGCATGATGGGACACTAGAGCGGGGGCCCTTTGGCATCAGCCATGGTTTGCCACCGGGAAGGTGGGGAGCTGCCTCATGCCCCACTGTCTGTGAGATGGTGGGACAAGAGGCGTGGCCTCTACTTGTCTAAGATCTTGGAGGGCCCTGCCTCCTCTGCACCGATGCCCTCCTTGAAAAGGCGCAGACACCCAGCCCCACCCCACCCTGGAATTCCAAAGCCACAGAAAGCTACTTGGCTCCCTGCCTCATGGGTCGGGCCTCGGGCCTCCTGGAGAGGGCCTCCCCTGGCTATCCTGAGCGCTGGGCCACGGGAGCTGGGTGCTCTGGCCCCGGCTTGCCCACCTTTCACTGGGCCCTCTCCTTCCAGGTGCGGCTTCAGGTCCAGAGCATGGAGAAGCCCCAGTACCAAGGGACTTTGCACTGCTTCCAATCCATCATCAGACAGGAGAGCGTGAGTGGCCTAGGCCTGGGGCAGGTGGAGGTGGGGCGGGCAGCCAGCCTCTAGGATGCTGGGGGGTCCCAGAGCACTGAGCTGCGAGAGAAGGTGCCAGGGGGACTACTGGGTGGATCAGGACTTGGGAGATGGGACGGTGAATGCCCAGGCCTCGAGATTGAGGACTTTAGTGCTACTAGAATTCTGCTTGATCCTTGTGAGCCCCTGGGCTGCGCAGGGACTGGGGCTGCCGCAGCCACGCACGGAGGGCAAGGGGAGGCGGGCTGGGCGGGCTGGGCTGCCCGGGGCCCCAGGCAGGAGGCACCTGACGCCTCTCTGCTCCGCCAGGTGCTGGGCCTGTACAAGGGCCTGGGCTCGCCCCTCATGGGGCTCACCTTCATCAATGCGCTGGTGTTCGGCGTGCAGGGGAACACCCTCCGGGCCCTGGGCCGCGACTCGCCGCTCAACCAGTTCCTGGCGGGCGCGGCGGCGGGCGCCATCCAGTGCGTCATCTGCTGCCCGATGGAGCTGGCCAAGACGCGGCTGCAGCTGCAGGACGCGGGCCCGGCGCGCACCTACCGGGGCTCGCTGGACTGCCTGGCACAGATCTACCGGCAGGAGGGGCTGCGCGGCGTCAACCGGGGCATGGCGTCCACGCTGCTGCGCGAGACGCCCAGCTTCGGGGTCTACTTCCTGGCCTACGACGTGCTGACGCGGGCGCTGGGCTGCGAGCCGGAGGACCGCCTGCTGGTGCCCAAGCTGCTGCTGGCGGGCGGCACGTCGGGCATCCTGTCCTGGCTCTCCACCTACCCCGTGGACGTGGTCAAGTCGCGGCTGCAGGCCGACGGGCTGCGGGGCGCCCCGCGCTACCGGGGCATCCTCGACTGCGTGCGCCAGAGCTACCGGGCTGAGGGCTGGCGCGTCTTCACGCGCGGCCTGGCCTCCACGCTGCTCCGCGCCTTCCCTGTCAACGCCGCCACTTTCGCCACCGTCACCGTGGTGCTGACCTACGCGCGGGGCGAGGAGGCCCGGCCCGAGGGCGACGCTCTGCCTGCTGCCCCTGCTGCCCCCGCGGGGCCGGCCCTGGCTCAGCCCTCCAGCCTGTGACGCCCGCCCCCCCGGCCCGAGGAGCCCGACCTCCCCAGGGGCCGCTTTCCAGAAATCCAACACAGACAGAAATTGGCCCCCAGCCCATCGCCCTGCCCAGACCCCAGACGCCGTGGGCTGTGGACTCTGTCAGACCTGGGTTGAATTCCGCTCATCCCCTGGGTGACCTTGGCCACCAACTTGACCTCCTCAGTTTTCTCAGCTGTGAAATGGGGATCCTCATACTCACACTGTAGTCTCGAAGCTCAGAGATGGTGCCGTGCAGCGCCCAGCACTGAACCTGCCACTATTACTTGGCATCTTCCAGAAACCCAGCCCTTCCCTGGGATCTCGGCCACCACCACCACTGGGTCTCTGATGACCCACCAGAGGGCTACCCAGTGACTCACCACCTGCAAACCCTCCACCTGGCAGAACTCCAGGGACATTTGGCCACCTGTCCAGGCTGTGTTAGGGACAGAGTGGCGGCTTGGGTTGCCCCCTGGTGTCATAGAACTGAGTCCTCTGCCGAAGCACCCCAGCTTCTCCATATGGCACTGCTGGGAACGCCCCTACTACTGCCACTCCCCTGGAGGGTGACCTGGGGACCCACTAAGAAGCCAGGGGACCAGGGGCTGGGGTGGGGGTACAGCACAGGCCAGTGGGAGGAGAGCTCAACCGTCAAACAGGCCGTGGCGAGGGGAAGCCTTTGCACACTCTGGGCCTCAGGCTGCCCGTCTGTAAAATGGGGATGTGGGTCAGCTGGTATCTGGGGCTCTGGCCCACTCCTGGCCATCTCCCCAGAGCCTGGTGTTCTGTGAGGCCTGTCAGTGGGCACACGTGTGGCCGGTTTGGGCCCCTCCAGGCCGAGGGGGCTCTGCCTGCGCTCCAGGGGCTGTCATTAGAAGCTGGTGCTTTGGGGTGAGCTGGGGCAGCCCAGGCACATCCGGTACGGTGTGGCCATGTGGCTGTATGGGGAGGCGAATGGTTTTGCACAGGTTGAAGGTGACCGTGGCCTCCTTTGCCCTGAGTGGGGCTCAGCCTCCTGGGCTATGTAACAAGCTCTCCGGGAGGCAGGCGGTACTCGAGGAAGACAAGACTCACGCCTGTGTACATGGTGTCATTGTACAGAAACCACCAAGGGAATAAAGAATTCTTTGTTTTTTTAACAGGATGGGGTTTCATTTGTAGGTCATAGAGGAAAGGGCTTCGTTCTCCCCCCTCCGGAGTCAGAGGGGCCAGCTTGGTGGTCTGTGTGCCCTCGCGCCCTGGTGGCAGTCCTAGCTGCGTGACCTGCAAGCCCCAGGGTGCATCTAGACCCTCAGTTTCCTCATCTGCAAGATGGGGGTAACAGAGCTGGGGATTAAGTGAGTAAAGCTCACAAACGTGCTGGACCGAGTCTCAGCCGTTCAGCAAGTGCTCCTCGGATGTCTGTGGTTGTCCCGGGCTATGCGAGCTCTCTGGGAGTCCCGAAGTGTGGTGGCGGCAAGCAGAGGGACACTAGCAGTGGCCAGAAACGACCTCCCGGAGAGGGGGAGTTCTAAGTGGAGCTCCGAAGGGTGAATGGATCTGTCCACCTGAGATTAGACCTAACCCAGCCTAAGAGGTCCGTGAGGGCTTCCTGGAGGAGGCCTCATTTGCCAAAGGAGTGTCTTACTGTCTGCCCACCCCCACTTCCGCTCAGCCTCCTGGAGTCAATCCTGGGCACCCTGAGTCTTCAGCGTGGAGGTTCTTTGCTCCCCAACTGCTGAGCTAGAAAGCACCCCCGACGTGCAGGGGAGGGCAGGAGAGAGGCCCCACTTTCCCTCCAGGCGGGGTGCCGGCTCTCCTGTGCCCTTACACCCCATTTAATCCCAGCACCAGCCTGAGACGTTGGGCTTGTCTGCAGTTTCCAAGGACAAGAGGCCAGGAGGGAGCTGGCTGGTGCCCCCAGGGTGGGGTGTCCTCAGACAGGCTCCCTTAACCCAGCTGTCCCCTCCCTGGGGTCCCCCGCAGCAGCTTCTTCCCCCATGAGGCCCCCTGGCCTCTCTCTCATTTCTCTTCCCTCTGAAAGAAACCAGGCAAACGCTAAAAACCAGGGTCTTCCTCCCGTCCCAGGCGCTGACAGTTAAACATTACCAATAATTCAGGCCGGGGGAGGTCTAGGCTTCTGAGGAATTTTTTGACATCTTATTTTCTTCCTGATTTGAATATATATTTATTTGGAATAAGTAATAGATTAACATGGTAAAAAGTGAAAATGCAAACAGAATCCAGGCTGTGCAGTGAAGAGGAAAACCTCGCCCCCACCTTGTCCCCAGCTGGCATGCCCCTCCCCGGAGCCGAGGCCTGCCTCCAGTTCCCAGAGGACATCCCGGCACCCCGAGAGTCCCAGCACGTGGGAACACCCACACTCCCCCGAAAAGCACACCAGGTGCTGACTGTTCTGTTCTTTGCTTTGTTCACTGGACAGTTATCTCGGAGACGGCAGGCGTCTCCGTCCAGGGCGGCCGTGACCCGATTCGCACACCGGGTGGCTAAATAGACGTTTGTTCTCTCGCAGTCCTGGAGGCCAGAAGTCTGGAATTCAGGAAGAGGCAGTGGTGGCTCCTTCTGGATGCCCTGAGGGAGAATCTGTCCTTGCCTTTCCCAGTGTCTCACGGTGGCCGGCAAGCCTTAGCTTGTAGGCAGAGCACTCTAACCTCTGCCTCCATCTTCGTGTGGCCTGTCCCCCATGTGTCGCCTCTTTTTATGAAGACCCCAATTGTTGGCTTAAGGGCCCACCCTACTCCAGTATGACCTCATCTTAACTAGTCACATCTGCAAAGACCCTATTTCCACATAAGGTCACGTTCACGGGGACCTGGGGTGAGGACTGCAATGTACATTTTGGGGGGCACAATTCAACCCACAACAGAGGTCTTTCCTTATCAGTCTGTTCGAATTGGTCACGTTTTTTGTTAACAATTGCATGACGTTTCATTGGCTGAATGTTCTTTCCTTTATTTATCCAGCTGTTGGGGAGAGTAACCAGGAAGGGGTATCTGACCGGTCTGAGAGGAAGAGCAGCATCTGACTGAGCCACGGAGGGGACCTTGAAGCTGGAGCTGAGGGACCAGGTGGAGCGGAGGCCCCAGAGGGCAGGGGTGGGGAAGGAGAGGCAGTGTGGCTCGCTGCAGGAGCGACGGGGTGGGAGAGGGCCACTGGGCCAAGTCACGGAGCAGTGCCTTGGGGACAATGGCACCCCCCTACATGCCCACCTCATAGCCATCCCACCCATTTCTGATAGAATCCCTGTGTCTTCTGGGCTTCAGTGTGTCCAGGTAAAAATACCTTCCCAGACTCCCTTGCAGCCAGAGGTGGCCCTGTGTCCCAGAGCTAGTCAGTGAGACTAAGGCGATGGCCAAGGCTCCTGAGAAAGCTTTGTAAAAGGGACAAATGGACTTGTGGCACATCTCAACCTCTGACCCCATCCCGTCTTCCCAGTGAAATGGAGATGAGATGCCTGCAGGTGCAACACAGATACAGCTGGCCCTGTGACCTTGGTGGGCCACCGAGCCAGCCTGGCCTGTGGAAGGTCACTTCCCACTGTCCCACATACTGTTCCTTGGTTTCTCAGTCCCTTGCAGCCAGATGCATCATGGCCACATTCTGTGGCTGCAGACCCCCGGACAGACCACTGGAATGGCAGTTCAAGCCCCACAGGGGCAGAAAGCTTGGACAGGCCTGGCACCCACCCTGTGTACTCCTTGGTCTCAGCTTCCTTGCTGCTGTGGCCTCGCCACCCTGACCTCATGGCACCCACCTGCCCTCCCAGAGGGAGGCAGTGTCCATGGAGACCAGGGTACATCAGAGAAGGGGCGGTGGCTGCTTGGAGCTGGGTCCCTCTGATATGGCAATTGCCCAGGGAAGGCGTCCCTTGTGGCTGCCACCGGCCTCAGCGGTACTCTCCCAGGCCAGCTGACATCCCTCAAGTTAATGACCAGTTTGCACGTCAACTCCTCCCACTGCGAGGAAGTCCCCTGAGGGCAGGGCACTGGTGCCCCACAGTTTGGGTGAGAGAATAAGTGCTGCCAAGTGGGAAGCCCTGCCCCAAGGTCTGGCAGGACACCCGGAGCACCAGGCTGGGTCCCATCCCTGGAGCTCCCTCCCGATGGCACCACTTTGTGGCTCTCAAGCCTTGGCAGGCTCCTTGGCCTGCTGGGCAGCCCCCAAAGGCCGCCCCTGGGGCATCCAGGCGGGTTTGAGCAGCAGAGTGGGCAGGGCAGGACTGACGCCTGAGAGTGAGTGTGTGTGTGTGTGTGTGTGTGTGTGTGTGTGTGTGTGTGTGTAGGGGGAGGCTGCCATGACACCCCTTCTGGAGTTCTGGCTTGAATGTCCCTGTGGATGGTAGGGACACAAGACGGGGAGCAGATGTGGGGGAACATGCTGGGCAGGGGCTGTGAAGAAAGCATATTGTTGAATGAATGAGTGAGTGAATGAATGAATGGGTGGATGAGGGCAGAGGGTACTGAGTACAGGGCCAGGCTGCGTTCTGCCAGGCGAGTCAGAAAAGGGCAGAGGAACACAAGAATGGAGGAGAGAGGGAAGCCAGGACAGGGGGCTTGGGAGGCCGGATGTGAGAGGTGATGGGCTGAGGGCACGCAGGCGGAGAGGCTGGGGTGGAGTCAGAGTGTGGGACCCTGGGGCAAGAGGAGGGGGTAGGTGTCGGTGAAGACAAGGTTTGGAGGTGCCATGGCAGTGGCAGGCTGGGGTGGGGTCATCAGAAGGAGAAGGCCAAGGCACAGACAGGCCAGACAGGGACGGCCCATCATCGAGGACAGACCCTGGGGTCACCAGGGAAGATGGGCGGGGAGCCACTGACCCGCACTGGTATGGGGGGTCTGCAGCAGAGCAGGGAGTGGCACAGAGTCTGCTGGTATGGGCCTCGGAGAGCCAGGTTTGGAGGGAGGTGGAAAAGATTTGGAAGCAGAAGTGCGAGGAGAACCCCCACCCCCCACCCCCGGCCTGTGGTAAAGCAGCCCGGGCTTGGAGGTCGTCCAGCCGCCCAGAACTGGCCACACTGAAGCCCCCCGCCTGGCCGCTCCTCTCCCCGGCTCCCGGACACCAGGTCCTAACTTCATCCAGGGCATGAGAGTGGTCGGGCCATCTGGAGCCGCTGCTCCCCCTGCCCCACCCTCCAGGGGCGCCACCCCTCTCCTTGGTCTAAGGGTGCCCCAGGAGGCCTCCCACCTCAGGCCTTGCTCAGGTGGCCCGTCCTGGAATGTCTCCGCTGCCCCCCAACGCTAAGCCGCCCCTACAAGGGCATCACAAAGGCCTCCCCACCCCCCCAGGCCTTTCCTGGGGCCAGCCCGCCCCGCGGCCCCGGGAAGGCAGGAGCCTCCTCCTCCTTGACTCTCCGAGGGGCCGGCTCCGCTCCCAGCCCTCACGGGGGAGCATCTTCTGCGGAGGAAACGAAGCTCCCCAGCCCAAGGTCATTCGCGCTTCCCTCTGGCCGAATTCCAAGGCCTCCCGACGCGGCCTCGCGCGCCCCCTGCCACCGCCCGGAGCGCGGGGGCCACTCGTCGGCGCAGCTTCCCGCGGCCGGCCGGCGGGCGGCGCTGCCGTGTTGGAGGATGGAGGAGCCGAAACCCCCGGCCCCACACCAGGGCGAGGGGGTGGGGGGTTACCGCGAGGGCACCGATGGCCGTGGGTGCCAAGGTCCAGGGCCTCAAAGCTCCCGCGCGCCCCGCTGGGGCTCCAGAACCGGTCCGGCTCTTCCGAGGGGCTGGCCTTCGGGGTCCCGGCGTCCACACGCCGCGCGCACGCGCACGCGCACGCGCACGCGCCTGCCCACCCGGCCCAGCGCGGCGCTCGCGCCCTCCCGCGGCCGGAGGAGGAGGCGCACCCGCCGGTGCGGGCCCCGCGAGGGCATCGGGGCGCGAGGGGAGGCTAGGGCAGGGGCGAGAAGGAATTTGTCAAGGCAAGGAGGGGGCGACAGCTCAGGCAGACGGGGGCGAGCGTGAAAGGATGGCGGGCAGCCGGCCAGGGAGCCGTGGAGAGGGGCTCTGGCCACCAGCGCCTGGGACACTCATGGGGTCTGGTACCTAAGCAGCGAGTTGCAAGAAGAGACGGCTCTTGGGCCGGGTCACTTCTAGCCAGGCACACTGCCCTCCTCTTCCTCCCTCCCTCCCCAGCCCCTTCCTCTGCTGGCTTTCCTAGCATTTGCCCATATTTGTCATGTCTCCTCTACCAGCTGTAATGCAAGTTCCATTAGGGCAGGGCCTGACATAACGGGTGCTCAATAAGCGTTTGTTGAATGAGTGAACCTGGGAATTCAACGATAGGGAAGCTTCGGAACTGAAAAACTGCAAGGGGAGTTGAGCACAGGTCAGAAAAGTAGGTCAGGGCCGCAGTTTAGCTTTGAGGGTTGGCGAAAGCTTTGGATTTTATTCCGTAGCAAGCGGAAGCCACTGCAGGTTCTGGTGCACTGGTGAGGACCCCCCCCCCCCCATACTGGAGAGCCAGTTAGGAGATGGCACAGTACAGTGACATCAGGAAGCTGGAGAGGGGCAGCCAGGACCAGAACAAGGAGTTGACTGCTGGCAGCGGGGGCCCTGAGAGCCAGCTTCCAAAGCCAGGAGATGCACTGTTTCTGAGAGCTGCAGAGGCGCCATGCTGGGAGACGGGGAGGCCACGGGGCTGCTCCATGAACAGGGACCATGGCTGCTTTGACAGGCTGGAGATGAACTCAGGCTGAGGGGCCAGGGGCAAGCAGAGCACAGTGGAAGCCATGCTGGCCTGGGTTTGAATTCCAGGTGCTGGACCTTCGCCCATGACCCTCACCCGTGACATGGGGTCATGCTGCGGAACCCCTCCACCGGTGGTTTGGAGGAGTAAATCAAACAGTGTTCACAATGCCCCGCATGGCCCTGAGCAGTTAGCCTCTCAACAGATGTCCTTACAGCCTGGCGGAGGCCCGGGCCAGTGCAGAAGAGGGCCATCGGTGTCCCCGGTATCTGGGAGTGCCCACAGAACTCGACTCCAAAGCCCCCAGTGACCTCAGTTCCTTTCCATCTAAGATGGGCAGCAGCACAGTTCCTGAGCTCAACTCTACCTCAGGCCTTTCCTCAGCAGTTGTGGGCCTCACAGGGGCCGGGGCCTTGCCACCTCAGCAGCCCCTTCCATCATTAGCAAAAAGGGAAGGTCACATGAATTACGGAGGGTATACAAACCTGGCTCTGCAGTGCACCAGGGCCCCATGCGGGGCAGCAGGATGCCTCTCTGCATTTTGCTTCAGGCCAAATCCCAACTAGCTCTCAGTATATTTTATCCGGCTTTTAAGAGTCTATCCTGGCTAGTAAGCTCTTCTTTTCGGCCCTGGAGCTCCCGGAACACTGGGGGTGATGGGCCCAATGACCGAGAATTTCATTTGGCTGTTTTCTCAAAGCGGGTGAGGTTCTCATGCGAACTCCTTCCGGCCCATTAGTCCACTGTGGAGCTGAGCGGCTACGGGGAGGAAGCATTGCCTGCTGGCGGGAGAATGAATCCAGGGAGTTTCCGTTCCTGTGCCAGAAGGCAACCCACAGGGACCTGCCCGAGGCATGCAGGCAGCCCTGAGCCTAGGCAGGAGCTTACAGCCAGGCTTACTGTGTCATGAACTCAGGAAGAGAGGCAGCTTAGAGGATTCAGGAACAAACAAGGACCACAGGCATTAAAAAGCTTAACAACATTATGCGTTTATTATATTTATAGAGCCATGTTACACATGCTTGGTGCTTCAAACTGAGTTATCGTTAAACGTTTTTCTGGATGCAAAGCCATCTGATGCTTGATGCGGATGCCTTAAATACTAGAATATTTCTGCATCTATGACCTATGAGCTAAGGAAAAACCAAGGACAATTCTAGAAATGGCAACGAACATTTAAGAAAAAGATGTACATGAGACACAATGCTAAGTCCTTGAGCCAGGGCCTACAGAAGTTACCAGAAAGTGAATAAAAACAGAACTGCTCTATGAAAACGGTTTGACCAATCGCCATCTGTAGATAATAGAGCTCATAACAGTTATGGGTGTTGTAGAAAAAGGTTGCTCTGTTCCCTCCATAATGTATGCAGACACTGTGCGGCCCCACGTAGAGCAGCAGACAGAATACAGCACAGCAACCGGCCCCTCCCTGCCACAGCCCAAAGCTGTTTCTTATGGTGTCTGAGTGTCTGTAATGAAAAGGAGTCAATCTGATCAAACCTGCCACTGGGCAGAAAATCAGTCACTGTGCTTTAGGCCAGCGCTTTAGGCTCCACACTCCCCCGCTGCCGCCTCCCAGGGGGCTGGCCAGAAAGGTGGGGGCCAGCCTCAGGGAAGTGTGATTTGCCTGCAGACCCAATGTCAATGTTCAACGGTCCCTTCCAGCTTTTACAAGGGGAGCGGATGAAGTGTGACAACAGTGTGCCACCTGGTCCTCCCATCAAGTCGCAATACTGTCCCAGCTGAAGCGCCCTCTCCAGCACTCTGCTGACCCCGGGCCTGGACAGGGTGCCCGGAAGCCTTTCAGCCACCCCCACGAGGAGGGGCCCACCATCTCCATCCTACGGCTGCTGCTCTAAGGGCCTGCCCTTCCCCGTCTCAGGGAACCAGAGGACGCGAGCACCACCTGAGCAGCGACGATCAAGGTGTGCAAGGCAGGGTGCAGGAGACCCAGCCAGCCAGGCAGATGCTTCCCTAACCCTCTGTACAGCGGAGGCGCAGGCGACAGATGCACAACCGGAGCAGCGAGGAGGCAGGGCTTGGAGTGTGCGCTCCCCACTCTGCCCCCTCGGTTACAAGTCTGGGTGGCATGCACCTGCCAGGGCCTGCCGGGCCAGGACTCTGACAAGGTGCTCACTTACACTAATGCCAATGGGAGCTGGGGTGAATTATCAGGTTCCAGCTCAAAAACCGAGAGGCCAGGTTTTCCCGTGCCAGACACAGACTCTGAGGGAAGGTACAAGGAGGAGGTTCCGCTGAGCAGAGCAGGGCAGCACAGCCCACGGAAAGCACTGCAGCGGCCACTGGGGCAGATCCGCAGTCTCCCTAGGCCTCCTGCTCAATGAGGCGACTCCATCCGCTTGTGAAGAAAAACCAGAACTCTGCTTGGGAACACAGGCAGGCAGCGAGCACACCATTCTGTCAAAGGGTCTTACTTCACTCCAACTTAGCAAAACAAGCGACATTTAATAGAACTTGTACGTGAAAACCAAATAGGAAAAAAAATCTTGATTTTCCTCAAATCCTCAGGCCTTCAATCTAGGCATAGCACACAAACACCATATGAAACCAACAGCGTGAGTTCAATGTCACCTTGGAAAATAAATGTCACTCTGGGGTGACAGTTCTTTATACAAATATTATGCTTCCCCCTAAACCCCACTACCAAAAAGGGGGAAAATAATAAGAAATCCAAAAATAGAAAACAACATCTTGTTAAATGTAAACTTATCCTCTGGAGTTTTTATATTACATATGCTAGAAACATGCATTTATTTCAGCTCAGATGTAAGAAAATATGTCTATCAGTATTACTTATAAATCAGATTAACCCTCAAGACAACGGACGCACTGTCAGAATACCATTTTGAATTTCAGTAAATTAGATCTTTAGCAAAATTATAAATTCGAACCACAAGCAAAATGGGTTTGTTATACCCCATGAGAACTACCTCTACTCTTTAAACGGTCGCTCGTTTGTCTGTTTCCTACACTAGCGTTGGAAATTGAGAGTGCTACGTCAAGGAACTTAGACATTAAGTATTCCTCAAACCCCCAATTAAATTCCTTCCAGAAATTAACTCTGCAGATTGAGAGAAGCCCCGTGAACAGAGTCAAGGGGAGAGATGACGTTCCACTCAGAGACAGACGGGGTGGGAGACATGACCGCAGGCACTCCAGGAGGCATCAGGGCACCGAGGAGGGACCGCCCTCCACGCTGGAGCCTGGCTTCCCTGGATCATGGCCTGGCTCTCAGGGCTGCCAGGGAGACTTGCCCACAGCACAAGGCTACCTTGCCGCGGGCCCTTGGGCAGAAGTCCTGAGGACAACGCCAGGACCAGGCTCCAGTGTGGCACACGGCCAGGGTGAGGGTGATGCGGCTTGACTCCTAACACAGCCACCCGACTGCAGTGGCATTTCAGGACCGCTGCTCCGAGACTGCTCACCTGAGGGTGGAGGGGGAAGGCGTGGGCGCGTACGCCACGGGCATCAGTGGAGGCCTTTGCCCTGGGTCTGCTCAAAGAGCCACAGGCTCACACGGGGGCACTGGCTGTGAAAGGGACCTCCCTCACGGGCTTACCTCTTTCCTGACTGCCAGATACAGCAAAGCCTGGCTTATCCGAGAGCAGCTGGGGTCTTCTGATTAACTCAGTTCCATCAAACTACTCAATGGATAATAGATTCTGAACAAATTAAAAAAGTGTCTCAAGTTAATTTTCCATTTATGATTCAGAAGGCACTTCAAAATTCCGGAGAGCCACAGGGTCACTGCTATTAGGTCACCAATCCTCCTGTACAGGACCGATGGAGAAGCTGTAAGAGATAGGGCTAATGTTTTTGACCTGATGGTGTCCTGGACATCTTATAAATAAATCTCTGATATTAGCTAGTTTGTCAATTACCTCGCAGTCAAGCATACAGCACAAAGACACACGGTATGTTTGTATCTTGAATAAATGGGATTTTGCTGTATCATGGCAGTTTATAAAATATTCTCATGAGTCTGATATTCGACTCTAAGTAAAATCCAAAAATTATAATCATACACTTAAGAGGTCACAACGTGAGAGGTAAAGTACTCATTGAGTACAATTTTCTTAATAATCTAATCACCTTGCCAATCTGCACTCAGTATCTGTTTAGAAGCATGAAGTTACGCTACTGGCGCTCAATTGCGACACGTGTTAGCATTAAAGACTCCACTAGACGGAGGAACCGAGGCTCTCCAACCAAACAGCCAAGACCCCCAAGTGTTTCCTGTTAGACGAGCCCTGAAGGCAGCCTGCGCGATGGAGACCCTGGTGCTTCCTCTGCCCCGCCTCTGCCGGCTGCTGAACACCTTACCTTGAGCGCACACGCGGGCCAGGGCAGCAGCGCTTCAGTCACACACCCGCCGGGGAGCTAAAATCAAAAGGCTATCTCCACTGGGCCCGTGCGGGCCCTCTGAGGTAGTTCCTTAACTCGGGATGCCTGTTACCTACTCTCGTTCAGAATTCAGTACACGTAGGAAGGAGTAAAATATCCATGCATCGCTTTAATCACAAGTCACTGTAATTGAGTGCAAAATAAAGGAAACTTGAGTTGCTTTATTTAGCTTCCAATTTCTGGGAGGCTCAAGAATTATAATTATTCTGGACAACAAAAGGAAATAAGACTGTGCTTACAGATCTTTTCTGCCATCTTCTTTCTGTAGGATTGCTATTTTATTGTCGCCCTTTCTGTTACACGGGATGTACACACCAGGTGTTAAAGGTACAATACATTCTACAACTGAGCACCGCTTTCCGTAACTGAACAGGCAAAGAAATTACACTGGACATCAGCATCCGGCAGTATTTCTCGGAAAAAAAAGTGACTAAAATGGGTTTAAATTGATTAACACTATTAAATCACATCTAATATCTGATACTACATGATTCAATACAGCTATACGATACAATTATACAAAATGTGTTAACATCAAAGAATACAACCAAAATTAAGAGAGCAAACAAAACCTATAGAACTTTTTTTTTACAGGAAAAATACTTTTGAAGTATGCATGTAACTGCCCATTCTTTTAAAGAAAATCTACTGCAAGCAAAGTTATCAACCTCCAGAAAAATCACACATAGCATTACTAAGCATATCCCCAAAAAGTGTACAATATGCACACTTGGAAAATACAAAATTAAAAAAATTGTAAGCAACAGGTGAGCTTCATATTTATAAGAATGTGAAAAGAAGTCCCATTTTTAGCACTGTTGTATAAAGAATTGTCTTTTGATGCGAAGTTCATGAATTGTCCTCCTGTTGGGACCACACTTTACAAAAACACCGTGTTTTTGAAACGAGATTACAGAGCAAGATAGAGTATCTTAGCAATGTCATCTTATTAAAGTTTTTTTTTAATTTTTACTACTTTATCAAAACATGTCCCTTAGGTGTGTAGGATTCATTTTTAAAATTCTTTCCTAGAAACAATATACAAAGGAGAGGCATATTTATTCCCAATCACACTCCTGGAAGATGCTTCCCGAGGTCGAGAAAGGTCTTCTCTTCTTCTCACTGGTTGTTTTTGGCCTTAGCGTGTGTTAAGATGTGAGATTTCAGGTTAGTCGACTGAGCAAACTTCTTATTACAACCATCGAAGGGGCACACATAGGGCCTGTCTCCAGTATGGATTCGCACATGTGTGCGCAAATTGAAGTCCAGTGAAAAGCGTTTCCCGCAGCCTTCGAACGTGCACTGTCGAGGAAAGACCAGAGACAACCCACTCAGCGACTTCGACCGGGCCGGGAGCGGGAGCCGCTCGCTGCTGTGCTGGAGGGCAGCCTGCTCCCTCCACCCACCGCTCCTCCTCCCCTTCCAGAACCTTCCAGACACGCTCTGCAATAGGGGGAAGCAGCGCTAACTCTGCATGTCGGACAACTCCTAAAAGCCATGGACAGCCCTCAGAAACTGTTTACAACGAGAGAGAAACACTCGGCAAAAGAGCAAGAATTCTCCTAAATATTATGTTAAGGTCCTTGTATTTCTGTAAATATTTCAACTAATAAGACACAGATGATGAGGGAGGTTTCTGGTGTCACGCCTCAAAAAGAACCGTGTTACATCTACTAGCTGCGCTGCTACTCGGTTCCCTTGTTTACGGGCTTCTAGAAACAGACACAATATTAACTATACTTACTCTCATACGATAAAATTTTACAAGTTCCCTGTCAGTTAGTAATTCAATATACTATTAACTACAAAAAATAAACTGCTCCGACCCCATAGTGAACGGACTGGAAATTTACTTTGAGGCTTGCTCTTGAGCAATCCCGCCTCTCTGTAAACGCCTGGCTGCGTCCCACCTCCAGACGCACAGGGAGCACGTACAGGGGAGCCGGAGCTGGGGCAGCTCTTCCAAACGACCGTCAGGACACCGTTTCCGCTTCTCACTAAGGAGAGCTAAGCCCCTGACTCGGGGCGGCCACGGTCTCTCCAGCATTGTCGCCACCTCGCCTACACCTGCAGGGTAACGTGGAGGGGAGAAGGGACTGGCTCTACCTGAAAGGGCTTCTCTCCAGTATGAACCAGTTGGTGTCGTTTTAGTTTTGAGCTCTCAACAAAAGCTTTGCCACATTCTGCACAGACGTGGACTCTGGGACCGTGGGTGTGCAGATGTTTTCTCATGGCAGAGTTATCCCTGAACATCTTTGTGCAGCCCTTCGAACAGAGAGAGAAGCTTAGTGGTTCACACTGCAAACTGTTACAAAGGATTCAACCACTTAACAGCCTTCACTGACACATTGAAACCAAACTCCCCCACACCCCCCATTTTACTTGGTATTACAGTAGAAATATTAAATTAATTAATTTAAGACAAAAAAACCAGACAGCTGACAAGGCCTTATCATTTAATGCAAACCCTTGTTTTACAGATGAGGAAACTGAGGCTTAGAGATGTCTTAAGTAGACTTGCCCAAGGTCACACTACCAGCAGTAGCCGAGCTGGGAGTAGAACCCAACACCCTGGCTTCCAGCTATACCACAGCTGCCTCACCCCACCATGTCCCCCAAATGAAGCAAGAGAAGCACTGATAATAAATGGAGTTAAAATGACGGCAGTCCACCGCCACCTTGGGCGGGCCCCGTGTTCTGTGCTGCAAGAATGGGCTGTCACTCTCCGTCGCCTACTGTCCCCTCTTCTCTCTTTGCCTCTTTCCCCTTCTTGACAGAGAAAGAAGCAAGAGGGCCTCCAAGGAATGGCAACCACAGAAGAAATTTATTTTGTGAGACACCAGGAAAAGAAGCAGGCAAACTGATAGGAGAGCAGGGTGGGGAGGCAGATGGCATGTGGTGCTCGAGAGAAGCATGTCCTTCACAATTTCTTCTGCAGTTGTTGCCCAGAGATGGAGTGAACGGGGGAAATGGTCAGACAGCATGATGGAAGGACAGCACAGGCCAACCACTGGACAGCTTCGCAGGCAAAAGGGAGGGAAAAGCCACAGTTTTTTCACCTTGATCCCTAGGTTGAGTTTCCATTTAGAAAATGGAATTTTAAAGAAATGTAATCGGAAAAGAAGTACACAGAGCAACTAGAGAGACGGCAGGCACTTAAGGCATAACTGTTTTCAAATGCTTACTTATTTTTTGGCCCCAAATCATTTTACATTTCAAAATCTCCAAATTAAGGGCATTAAAAAAAAATACAAAGAATCTGTGAGTGCACAAGTCATGAGACGTGACACCACGAAACTAAATTTATCCTTCTCCAATTGTTGATTTTTAGAAATTCTTCATGCCATTACAAATGTCTCCCTCTTTGCTTTTCTGCACCTGGGTGATACTTGATTTTTGTTAGTATCCAGTTAAGCTTAAAACGGACCCAATCAACACCTCCAACTACTTTTTAGGCTATCCTTTTACTTTAAAGACTAACCACATTTGAAAACAATTAAATACCCTCCAGTACCACACAAAGTTAACAGGGTAAATTAAGAAAATTGTGAAGGAAATGATGACGTCTTTTTAGGCTTACTTTAGCAACATCCAAAATAATTTCCAAATATTCGTTAATGAGCCTACGGTCCCAAAAATGTCTATGGGTCAGACACAACCCAGTGTCTTAAAACTGACTTGTTACTGATCCAAAAAGAAGCAATAAAATCCTAACACACAATGTTCAATATATAGTACTAACAGAAACACTGGTGCCTACAGTCAGCCCTTTGAATACTATTTATATTTAAGTGGCCTTCACTGAACAAAATTTACATCACAAAATATACTCTCGAGATTAGAAACCAAAAATTATAGTTCCTCACTTAATCTCAATTATGAAGATGAAAATCAAAGTGCACATTTCTTATAAGCTCTCTAGAACTCCAGTAACACTTTAATGAACCCTTTTCCCCTAGCATTACTTACTTTATGAGGGCAAGCTATTGTTCTTGGAGCATCATCTTCTTTAATTTTTCTTGGCTTCATTCTTACCAGAAAAAAAAAAAAAAAAGAGAGAGAGAGAGAGAGAGATTTGTAGGAGCGGGTAAACTCAGCTGGCATAAATTATATAGTCCCTAAAATGTTTTCCTTATAGATACAAAAACTAAGATTACAATATGCTTCCACGCAGGGGAAAGGAGGAGACAACTCCCATTCTCCCAACTGTGAGACCTGTGACTGTGAAGGACTCTTCCCCCGATACAGGCAAGGGTGCTGACGCTCAGAGGCCGAGCTGCCGTCTATGGTCTCACAGCTAATAAGCTGGTGCAGCTTGGAATGGCACCATGATCTGTGTGATTCAAATACCTGCTCTTTCCTCCAAACTCTTTAAAAAATACAAAAGATCAACAGCCCAGAAAACCACAGATGAATCCCCTAGTGGGAACAAAGTAAAGTATCCAAAAGCAGCTGCTGTCATAATAAAGGTACTTTATAAAAAGGGAGCAGCGGACGTGGGAGGGTCTTAAAAACAGATATTCCTATACAACTGCTTTAAAGAAGAGGGGGTCCATTTCATACTGACAGAAATGCTCTTTAGGAGAGACCACTTTTTAAAGAGGGAACAGAACTGTCCTTTTCAACAGGGAATTACTTCTACACATATAATCTCTCTAGAAGGAAACATAATAAGCTGCCAGGATGGTCACTTTGGGGAGGAGCCCTAGGGACTGACAGCCAGGTGGGAACACCTCACACGCTTTTATACTGTCTAATTCTCATCATACATTACTTTCGGTGCTGGTGAGAGGAGGGAGATTATTAGTTTTTCAATAAACAAGAGCATTTCTTTTACAGGACAGAGCTTTGTGGCCCTGCTTCAGGACAGCAGTGGGACAAGAGTCCAGGTCACTTGGGCAGTCAGGGAGGGCCCCGTGTGGAATTACTACCCAGGGAGCTTGCTCATTTGATCTGGGAACTTACCTACCTGCTATCTCCACTGAACCAACCTTTGGTCTTTTGTTAAAACTTTCTCTCCAAATACTCCCTACAGATCTGTGTGTAGTAAAGGGGTGAGAAATTAAGAGTTCCTAGAAAAACTAGAAAAAAACACTTAAATCTCTGAAACAGATGTTCTTTTTGTCACTAGTTTTGCCATCTTCACGCTTCTACATGAGGATGGATATTTAATAAACAACTGAGTCAATGATTCCTTAGCAGTAAGAGCTAATTTACCAGCACTCTTTTCATTTGAAAGGATGTCTGCTGTCATCTTTAAGTTAGCAAAGGCCCTAGCAATAGCCTCTTCACCCCTGATCTGGGAGAAGGATTACCTGATGCTTCCTACTTTATAGGAATTCATGAAATCATCTAAACTTCCCACAGCCTGGAGGAGCACAGGTGAAACAACCTTTTCCGTAGCTGTAACTTGTCTCTAAGGAGTTTGTTCAAGACTACAAATTCCCTATTTTAAATCCTCTAAGGACATTTTCAGTCTGGTACCCTCTCCCATTCCAACCCCGCCGATGCTCATTCTTTCCTGTCCTTGGAAGATTACCACATATTTTCCGAGTGCCTGCTGTGCCCAGGACACTCAACTAGCCTTTGCTATCTTATATACCACTAAGTCCCGGAGTTGGGGTCTGAGTTCACAAAACTAGGGAGGACAAAAATTTGGTGCCACTGTGCCACCTAGAGGTTATATCAGAGTTTGAAAAACAATGATGATTCATATGAAAGGATTCTGCTCCAATCAAATATAATATGATGAAGAGTATATCAAGAATCAGGCTCCTGGGACCGACCCCGTGGCCGAGTGGTTAAGTTCACGAGCTCCGTTTCAGTGGCCTGGGGTTTCGCCGGTTCAAATCCTGGGTGCAGACATGACACCGCTCATCAGGCCATGCTGAGGCGGCATGCCACACGCCACAACTGGAAGGACCCACAACTAAAAATATACAACTATATACCGGGGAGCTTTGGGGAGAAAAGGGAAAAATAAAATCTTTAAAAAAAAATAATAACCAGGCTCCAAGCTTCCCAATTGTAAGTTTATCCTTTGATGATTCCACTGAAATGCTCTATGTCTTGACTGTGGAGATGGCTACATGATTGTGTTTGTCCAAATTCATAGAAAGATACCCACCTAAAAGAGGGTAAATTTTACTGTGTGCAAATTATCTCAATAAACCAATTTAAAAACAATGTCAACAGGGGTGACAAATATGCCCCACAGTCTTTTCCCTGTCCCACCCATCTTGGGGTTCAAATATGGGGTCCATTCTGGTAGGATGGGTGTGGCCCAGTTACCAAGGAGGGGCCTCCAATACATTTTCTTAGATTTATTTCTAGGAACTTAAATTTTTAAAAAAATATTTTATCACGGAAATTTTCAAATATACCTGAAAGTAAAGAGAAAAGTCCCAAGTACCATTTACCCAGCTCTTGATCTTTTAAATGTTATTATTAAGTGGTATTTTTTCTTAAAATGTCATTTTCAAAATGTGTGCTAGTATTTAGCAATATAAGTAATTTCAGATTGAGAGTTTAAAATGCATTTGGACAAACACCCCTGGGTTCAAGGAGGAAGAGGAAGGTATTTAATTGCAGCCACTCAAGAGCCTTGGCAAATCATCCTTCTCCACTAGAGTGGCAAATGAGGCAGCATATACTGGTACCTTTTACTTTTCTTTTTTTCCCAAGGAAGATTTGCCCTGAGCTAATATCCATGCCAATCTTCCTATACTTTTTAGTATGTGGGCCGCCAGCACAGCACAGCTGCTAACAGGTGTAGGTCTGTGCCTGGGAACCAACCCCAGGCCACGGGACTGGAGTGCGCTGAATCTAACCACTAGGCCACCAGGGCTGGCCCAATACCGTCTACATTTTATTCGAATGCAAATACTGAAAACACTATTTTCCCCAAAAAAGCGTATTTAGATTGAACGTGTTCTGCTTTGTGAGCAAAAACTAAAATTTCAATCTTCATGGTACCAACAGATATACAACCTATAAAATATATATATTTGAAATCCTAAAAAACAAAAATTTTTAAAAAGACCAAAATCACACACTACTATCTAGAATATCTTCTTAGCCCACCCAAACTAGTCAGAAGTAACCAAGATTTGAGATTTTCATCGACTGTGATACTTTACAAAGATTGTTTGAACCAGAGACAACAATGACAACGCGTAGGCATCATGAATGAGACGGAATGGGATGTGTGACTTGATGCTGACTTCTACTAGCTGCACGACCTTGAGCAAATTACTTTAACTTCTCAGCCTCAGTTTCTTACTCTGTAAAAACACATAATGCTACCTACTTTAGAGCTGTGAAGGTTCAAAAAGATGATGTACATTAAACTCTTGGGAAATGACAGCTATTATTATCACCAGCTATGTGTTAAATGGGCCTAGCTAAAAATGAGTTCATTTCCAAAAAAATATGCCAGTTGTACTTAACAACCCAGAAGGTTCTGATGCTCCAAACCACCCTTTTCAACTAAAGGACTGAGAGACTGAAAAGAGAAGTACACAGGTAAAGGAGAAAGGCCTCTCACTGTATTAGAAATTATACGGAGGAGCTAGGTACCCAGCAGGAGAAGTTTCCTGTTCAATTAAAAATGGAGCACACGGAGAATATGCTCCCTCCAGCAGGACCGCTGGTTTTATACCGTCTCCTTCTGCATAGGTGGAAGGCAAACATTACAAAGGTCAGGCTCCAGTACCAAAACCTGCAGGAAGCCCCTGGCACAATTTTCAGCAAGGCACTGTATAAACCAAAAGTTCTAAGTTAAATCCACAAATGTCCCAGAAGCCGAGACGAAACATTTTGAAGCAGTAATTCTTGAATGCAAATAAGCCTCTTCCTTACAAAAGCTGCTTAGTTTACTTCAGACTGGAACCACCAATTTTGACCTGTGCTGGTGGGCCAGAGTTCTGTGTCATATATCTACCACCTGCAAGCATAATTCACCTCCCCTCTTTGCAAAGACTGCTTAGACAAACGACACAAAGTTTGTTGAATGACTTCTCTCTTAGGTAGACAGTGTCTATTCTGTCTATTCATGTGATGACACTGAAGAGTTTTAAGGTACTTTTTGTTCCACTATCACATTTCATCTTTACACTGATCCTGCAAAAAAATCAAGGTGGGTAGTGAACCACAACAAAAGATAATCATCCTGGGACTAACCTACCCACTCTTCATTCTATCTTTCTAGACCAAAGGTTTCTAAAGGGCTAACTCTAGTTAATGAAAAACACAAAAGGTTATCAATTTAATCAGGGAAGACAACTGGCCAGGTCTTACCCACCGACCATTTTTTGAAGCATTTACTAAAAAGACATTTCAGGAAAGAACAGTCACCCACAGCCCACCTCCCCAGTACCATGACTTTTAAAATCAGTTGTTTCTTCTCCATGCCCACACACATCTAACTGATTCACTGAGCAGTCTAGGCTCGGTGCGGCAGGAACCTGGAACGTTCCCTGGTCAGTTTCAGCTCCAGTCAGGAACCCCATCACCCTAGTGTAGGAAGACAGGGAAAGGCACCTAACACACCACCTTAGCCAGCAGCTGAGTCACAGATCAGAGGCAGATGAAGAGTGGAGGCCAGCAGACAAGCTCTGTGGATCTTTCTAAGCAAAGAAGATGGGGCCTGGCCCCCAAGTCTGAAACTTGGTGCCTCTCTGTCTTCAGCTTTCAGAGTCCCAGTCACCAATTCTGGGACCTCTGGAAAATCCTATTCAGCTGTTCCGCACGTTCTCAAAATGTGAAGACCTAATAAAACAGGGCATTCCAGGTTCAAATATTTCTCACCACCACTATCCAATTAGAGATACTATGGAAAATGAGGATGAGAATAAGCCCAACCCTCAGGCCACCTCACAAGGCCCAAACCCTATACCTTTACTTTGTACACACTGTCAAGATAAGCAGATTTCATTCTGTTCTGTATACAAAATGAAATCTTTAACAGGTTGATTATAAAAGAAAATAGACACACTATATCCAGATGATTATGTAAATATCACTCACTGTAGCATGTAACTGAGTGCAAGGATCACACTTCTTGCTCTACAAGTCCAATAACGCAGCTTCAGTACCAAGGAGAGCATTTTCCTAGAGTCAAGTGGAACGTGTCCTCTTTCTCTCTAAATATTGTCAAAATTATGCCCCATTTTTAGGCCATGGTTTTCTTAGCCCTCCCCTCTCCTCTTCAGGGGGTTTCTGATTATCTTTTCTTTTTTTTTATTATTAATTTTTTTTGGTGAGGAAGCTTGTCACTGAGCTAACATCTGTGGCAATCTTCCTCTGTTTTCTATGTGGGACACCGCCACAGCATGGCTAGATGAGCTGTGCGTGGGTCCAGGCCTGGGATCCAAACCTGTGAACCCCAGGCCGCCGAAGCAGAGCACACAAACTTAACCACTACGTCACTGGGCCAGCCCTATCTTTTCCTTCTGAAAGACTCTTTCCCACACCACCAAGATCTTCTAGCTTCTTACCTCATTCTATGCACTACTGAATGAAATCAACTTTTCTTGAGGAAATTCTTACAGCCCACTGCCTTCCTTTCTAAACTGAACACGTTCTCCAGCCTGCTGCACACCCATCTTCTTGGTTTGCTTTTCACTGCGTTCTTTAGGAAGTCTTCCCCCTTTTTTGAAAAGATTGGTACCTGAACTAACAACATCTGTCGCCAATCTTCTTTTTCTTCTTCTTCTCCCCAAAGCCCCCCAGTACATAGCTGTATATTCTAGTTGTAGGTCCTTCTGGTTGTGCCATGTGGGATGCTGCCTCAGCATGGCCTGATGAGTGGTGCCATGTCTGCGCCCAGGATCTGAACTGGAGAAACCCTGGGCTGCTGAAGCAGAGGGTGCGAACTTAACCACTCAGCCACGGGGCCAGCCCCAGAAGTCTTCCTTTTGATGTTCATCCTCATTTGACTGGAGTAGATACTCAAGTAACCTCCTCAGAAAGGGTGCATGTGACATAAAACGAATTCTGAGATTATTTTACCCTTGTATTTGTTTGATAGCTTTGCTGGAAAGAGAATTCTATGTTTATGGTAATTCTTCCTCAGAAGTCTCAAAACATTGCTTTATTGTCTTCTAATTATCTACCACTGTCAAAGAAAAGTCTGTTCAAGTCTAACTCCCATTGTTTTGTAGGTGACCTATCTTTTCTCTCGGGAAGGTTTTAGGTTCTTCACTCTTAGTGGTCTGAAATTTCATAACGGATGGATATGTGGTGCCCAGGTCCCAGTGGGTGGCCCCCTTCCTAAGGAGTAAGGTCTAAGGCAGCCCTGATGCAGAGAAGCAAGGCCACATGAAAAACAGGCAGAGGCTTCCACTCCACCCCAGTGACACATGCCTCCTGAGTCTGAGGCTGAAGCACCCTGGATTTTCTGTTCAGAGCACTGGGGACAAGCTTTCTGATCAGTGGCCCCATCTCCAGCAAGGGTGAACAACGCCAAGGGTCGCCAGCACCCCATTACTTCTACTGCTCGCTGTCCACAGGTTCCCTCTGTCCGCAAAACCTTGCCTCAGCCCTCGGCTCCTGCACAGAAATTACTTCACTATATAATTTGGAGAAATTGTGTTCCTCCCTCTCTCGGCCCTTCTGGAAACGCTGCTAGCTTTTGTGAAGCTGTACTTTCCTGAGTCTCCTCCCACCCATCTGAACGACCCTTCTGCTGCGTCAATGGTTTCTCTTACCCCCTGAATAAGGGCTTTCCCAAGACTCAGCTCTGCTGTCTTTTCCCTCCAACCCCTCCCCCTCAAAGAGCTTCCTCCCAGACACTTTGATGCTTTCAGCCACTCCTCGTCAGGCGACTCTAGCCCTAACTCACTTCCTGAAACTACCTCAAGTCCCACATGGATGTTTCATTACCATCTAAAACCAAACACTGCCCAACTTGAACCCCAAACCAGCACCTTCTCCCAATTTCCTGTCCCCTAAGGAGCTAAGCTTTGACTGTCCATTTTGATTCTTCCTCTTTGGCCCCCTCCCTCCAGACATACAGCCAATCTGCTTCTCAGTCTTTCCCACTGTCTCCTGTCATCTGTGTCACATTTACTCTTTTACAGTCTGACCACCACAATTCTGGCTCAGGCCTTCAGGAGTTCTTGTTCAACTGAGCTCTCCCGCTTCCTGTTTGCACCTGCACCAATGCAGCCCAGATACAGCTGAAAAGTAATTCTCTCAAAGTAGGTCTCTGATCAGACAGCCCTCTTCTCTACTGCTCAAACCCTTTAGCAACAGCGTACTGCATACTGAAAAAGCCCACATGTCTTGGCCCAGTATTCATAGACCTTAATGATCTGGTTTAAATTTACCTAAACTCCAATCATCTCCCTGGAAGCATCTTAATTCCCAGCCAAACTCGACTGCTTCTTGTTTTCTGAATAGATACCGGATACTGAATGTGTCCACTATGCTCACGCCATTCTAGCACGTAGGCCCTGCCACGGAGACACCAAACCTAAGAAAAGTACGTTCTTCAGGGCCAAATCCAATGCCACCCCCTCCACAAAGCTTCCCTTCATTCCCGTGTCCCTGTCTGTCTATCTAGAGATGCCCTCCATCCCTGGGACAGCAGCCTATGCCCCCACGCAATTCTGAGCACAACAAGGAGGAGGTGACTAACTGGAAGGACACATGGCGATATTAAACAACAGCATGGTTTTTGGCTCAACCCGTCCCAAACCTCTAACCTTACTGCTGACTATGTATCCTACAGATTCCATTTTTATTTGCATTTTGGGGGTGGGTGGAGGGGGTGGTGGTGAGGGATTGATCTTTGATCCATATACCTGTATTTAAAATATGAATAGCAAGAAAAGCTGGAATGAGGGTCACTAACAAAAGGATAGAGCCTTACCTTGTTGTGTGAAGCCATGATAAATCAGAAATAAATTAACATGTGTATCTCCTATAACAACAGTTTCAGTGGAGAGCAGAAAAGGGTACAAACCCCTTTCTTAAAACATAATGGGGTTCTTACACTCATATGACACATGGGGAAACTGAGGCTCCACATGGCAGGAGGGCGCCCACATGTTGTTTTCTGGCAGGGCTGGGAGAAACCCGGATGCTCCAGAGCCTCCAGCTCTTTCCTACTCTGCTCTGCGCTCAAGAGAAAGACAAAAAAGCATGCCCCACTCCATTCTTAGATGGAGCAGGGTGACAAAGAGCCCTTCCTCCTGACCCTGCTCTTGCCTCAATCTCCTGGGCTGCTCACTTTCCCTTCTGCCTCAGGCAGAGAAAAGGAGTAGAACTTCTGCTCCAGAGTCCACTAGTTCGTTTCATTTTATTTAAAATTTTACATCTTTGTGAGCTTTTTCATGTCCTTGTGAAAACTGTCAAACAGTACTAGAAAATAAGTAATGTAAAAAGGAGCAGAGGCTTCTGTGGGAAGTCAGCCCATTTCAAGCAAAACAAACATCCCATGGCTTCAGATCTTCCTGACTCCTCACCTTGGACAGTCACAGGGGTGCCAGTCATAAATATTCCATCTCTCCCTGTCGTGTCAGCTTACATTAAAACGCTGGGAGCTTCACTGCTGACATGCTGAACTATGAACTGATGAAATGCTCTCCGGTGGTCAGCTGTACAAATCTAGTACAGAGCCAGGTCTCCTGCAGCTCAGTGCAGGCCAGTATTCTCAAATTTAAAGTGTACACAAAGAGGCCAGAAGGGAGCAGAAAGATATCCATTTCCAAACAAATTATGTGCAACTTTATTTATTCACAAGCAATGTCAATTATAAAATTAAAGAGGCTTGGTTTTATCTTATTTATTGTCTGCAGGAATCTAAAATGGTGCCACTCACATTAATAGCATAGTTCCTACTAAAAAGAAAACAAACTGCTTCTGTTTCAGAAGTTGCCCTAGAGCAGGAACACAAACCACCGTAGTAGCTGAGACACAAAACCACAGCTGACAGCACGCAAGCATTTGCTACGACTAAAAGGAAAGTTCCTATAACTTACCTAGCAAATTCTGCCAGCTGTTTGGGATCTGAGAGGTCAATGCCGGGTATCCCTCCAGGCGGAAGTTTCTTTCCTGTCATGTACTCTGAGTAATCAGGAGGTGAGTTCTCCCCGATGATCTGTTCTTCAACCACTGTCTCATGGTCAATATCTTTTTTCTCATCTGAAACACACCATAAGATTTGATTATCTCCGCTGAGTAAAAATGTCTACAAGGACAAATACATTTAAATTTTTTATTTATTTATTTTTTGAGGAAGATTAGCCCTGAGCTAACATATGCCCCCAATCCTCCTCTCCTTGCTGAGGAAGACTGGCCCTGAGCTAACATCCATGCCCATCTTCCTCTACTTTACATGTGGGACACCTGCCACAGCATGGCTTGATAAGTCGTGCCACATCTGTACCCGGGTTCTGAACTGGCGAACCCCGGGCCACTGAAGCAGAGCGTGCGAACTTAACTGCTGCACCACTGCGCTGGCTCCACGAAATCATCCTGTTTCTGCTTGAAAGGCACCAAAATCTTCAAAGCCAAATCCAAGGGGCCTTCTATCAGCGTTCCTTCTTAGCCTACCGGGAAGAGTTCGCTGTAACGGTCCTCGGCGTTCCTGTTCCTGGTTCCACTCCCACTTCTCCACTTCCTCGCTTCTCCTCCTACCACTTCACAGAGTTCTGCTTTTTGTCCACCAGACACACTTCCTGTTAACCACCAACTCTGCAACGCTGACTCAGATCTAACTTCGTAGCCTTCACCTCTCCGCTAGCCCCCTGCCTACCTCTGTGGCCACCTGGTTCTTCACTATTCTCCCCTCACTCTTTGCTCCACGTACACCACCCTTTGAGTTCCTCAGATGCACCAAGACCCACCCACCCTAGCCTTATGGCCTTTTACTCATGCACCTTTCGTTGACCACACTGGTAATTCCAGCTGTGTGATTTGTCGGCCTCTCCTAGGAGATGGTAAGCTCCACGAGGATGGGGATGGTTGTCAGTTTTGATACCCACGCATCCTCAGAGTGCCGTTCAGGGTTTGCACATAGTCGGCCCTCAATAAATACGCATTCAAAGAATGCAGGACATTTCTACTCGTGTGTTGTACTATCATCGCAAATCCAACAGGTTATTAAAAAAAGGGAGTACTGACCACTGTAATTAATTCCCTGTATCCCAGACACCAAATCCTACTGATCGTTTTTAAAAGGTCTTTTCCCTTTGTCCCACAGCCATCAACGTAGTTATCATTATCTCAAACCTAAACGACTAGCATAATTTTCTTAATTCATCTTCACAATTCTGCTCTCTGCTCTCACGACGCTATGAAGGACAAACTGACACAGAAAATGTAGCTGATACACTTTCACCTGTGGCAGGAGCTCTTCAAGAGACGAATGCATTACTTCAACTCGGCATTCCCGGCCCTATGCTGTCTGTTCCCATTCTAACCTGTCTGGTCTTCCCTTCCATTTCTCCTTTGCACTTGCCCTCCGTATTCCAACCAGCCTGTTTCTCTCGCAGGTAATTCACGAGCGTCTGGCAGGAGTTTCCCCCCTTGCTCTCTCTCATTACCTCTCTCTAAACCTAGCCAACCCTTCCCAGCCCAGCTCAAATTCTCTAAGGGCTTACTGATTCTATCATGTCAGCCTTGGATTCCTAGCTTTTCTTTGAACGCCCTAGATTATTTCTTGGTAGTTAACACTGACAAACTCTAAATCATACTGTTTTGAATTTTTGTTGGCCTTGCCTCTTAAACTAGAGTAAAGATGCCAGAGGCCAAAAACAGTCTTTTACTAGTTCAGTGCCTAAAATAGAAAACAGATGCTCCAAAATTTTCAATGCTGACTGAAATTTTCTGCTACTCCATCAAGTTGTTTCACAAAGAGCAATAACATAAAAACTTTCAGAAGTGAAAACCGCCTTGTTCAACTCTTTCCTTGCGTTACCCTTCCACTACTGTTAAAAACAAGACCAAAACCCAACCCAAATCAGATCCTGCAATTGATGTCACCACCAAAAGCTATAAACATGCTGTTTAGCACATGGTTCTCTGTCATGAGAATAGGAGGGCAAGATAAAGACAGGATGCAGGTTCATCTGGTTCAAGCGGTCACTGTCAAGTTCAAGCACTCCCGGCAGTGAAAGCACAGAAGACGACAGTTCTGAACTTTAAATGTCTCTTTTCTCTCATCACTCTTCATTTTAGCAACATTTATAGGTCATTACAAGGAATCACAGACTCTAACAGCAGCCGACATTTTATTCAATGTTTACATGTAGGCACTATTTTAATCACTGCACATAGGAACCTAGGAAGTGGGCAAACTAGCAACTTCATTTTACAGAGAATGCTGAGGCACAGAGAGGTTAGGTAAGCGGCTCAGGATTAACCAGCTAGGAAGTAGCAATGTAAACTCCCGAAGTCTAACTTGAAGACCTGTGTGTGTTAACCAGCACAGCCAGCGGCCTGTTGTTTGGAACTAGAAAGAACTGGATACTATATCCCAGGTTACCTGTTTACAGATGAAGAATATCCATCTATGGATGAAGAAGCCTAAGGGAAAAAAAGCTGGCTGTACTAACAAAAAAGGACAGGAAACGTGGTTATTGATCGTAAGCTACAAAGCTGGGACCCTACACTGTAACCAGATTCTTTCATTTCGGTTCTCAGGGCTGTGGTAATTCCTTCCCCCTCCAAGCTCTCCAACTGAGGCACGACAACGACTCCTTTGACTGTGAAGGGGTACAGAAATACACTGGTGCGCAGGGAAGCTGGTCTTCTTTCCTGGGGTTTCAAACTTCTGATACACGGGGGCCGGCCCCGTGGCCAACCGGTTAAGTTCGCACGCTCCGCTGCCACAGCCCAGGGTTTCACTGGTTCGGATCCTGGGCGCGGACATGGCACCACTCGCGAGGCCATGTTGAGGCGGCATCCCACATTCCACAACTAGAAGGACCCACAACTAAAATATACAACTATGGGGGCTGGCTCCGTGGCCGAGTGGTTAAGTTCGAGCGCTCCGCTGCAGGTGGCCCAGTGTTTCACTGGTTTGTATCCTGGACGCGGACATGGCACTGCTCATCAAGCCACGCTGAGGCAGCGTCCCACATGCCACAACTAGAAGGACCCACAACGAAGAACATATGACTATGTACTGGGGGGCTTTGGAGAGAAAAAGGAAAAAATAAAATCTTAAAAAAATATATATATATACACCACTATGTAGCAGGGGGCTTTGGGGAGAAAAAGGAAAAAATAAAATCTTGAAAAAAAAAATTTTCCAATACAAGAAGGACAGCAAGGTTGAGAATCACCGCTGCTCTGCGCAAGCCTCTGAGGAGGGCGTGTCTCAGGCGTGCTGGGACAGAGAGAAGGCTGGCCTCCCGGCATAGAGGGGTCTCAGGCTAAATCACTCCTTCTACTAGCTCAGCAGACATTAGCTGGGGGCCTCCTGTGTGCCTGACGCTGTTCTAGGCAGCAGGAATAACAGCCACAAACAAGACAAAGTCTCTGCCCCCTTGGAACTTACATTCCAGCAGGGAAGGTGTCTGAGTGCAGGCTGCTACAACCAAATACCATAGACTGCGTGGCCTAAACGACAGAAAGTGATTTCTCAGTTCTGGAGACCAAGGTGCCAGCCACTTCCGCTCCTGGCGAAGGCCCTCTTCCTGGTTTTTAGACAGAGACGCCTTCCTGCTGTATCCTCACATACACATAATTTCTCATCACACTACACGATTGCTCTGTCTCTTCTCATAAAGCCACTGATCCCATTCATGAGGGCTGCACCCCAGAACCTAATTACTTCCAAAAGGCCCCCCCCTCATGAATCTGGGGTGACACAAACAGAAGTCAAGGATTCGCAAGTACAGCCAGTGGGTCAAAATCAGCCTGCCAACCCCCTCTTTGTTTCCATTTTCATGGTTTCCTTTCTTTGTTAAATTTTGGTAAAACGGACATTAACATAATATTTATCATTTTAACCATCTGTAAATGTAAATCTGTAAATGCAGTGGCATTAAATACATTCATAATGTTGTGTAACTATCACCACCATCTATAACCAAAACTTCATCGCCGCCAACAAAAACTCTGTAGCCATTAAACAATAACCCCTCCTTCCCGCAGCCCTGATCCTCTCTATTTTACTTTCTGTTCCTATGAATTTGCCTACTCTAGGTACCTTTTCTAAGTGGAATCATACAGGATTTGTCCTTCTGTGCCTGGCATACTTCACTAAGCATAATGTTTTCAAGGTCCACCCATGTTCAGCATCTATCAAATTTTCATTGCTTTTCATGGCCAAACAATATTCCTGTATGGGCATACTGTATTTTAAAATGTTTATCCATTCATCTAATGATGGATACTTGGGTTGCTTCCATCTTTTAGCTGTTCTGAATAGTGCTGCTGTGAACGATGGTATACAAATATGCCGTGTACTTTCATAACTCAAGTTTTACCGGAACACAGCCATGCTCATTTGTTCATGTACTGTCTAGGGCTGCTCTCCTGCTACCATTGCACATGGAAATGATTAGTTGTAACAAAGACTGTAGGACCCACAAAACTAAAATATTACTATCCAGCCCTTTACAGAAAAGGTTTGCTGACTTTTGCTTTATATAATGAGATTTCACTTAGAGAAAATGGTTTAGTGAAAATTTTTCTATTTGGAATAAGAAACAATTTCTGACAGTGAGATCACTCAACGATGGGATTTACTACCAAAAAGGCTGCATTTGTCAGCACGTCTCCACAACGGGTTAGATGCAAGCTTTATTTGCAGGAGGACTAAGCATGGCTGGGTAATGGATCAGATAAGGAGGGGGAAGAGTAGGGATGTCAAGTATGCCACCTGAGTTTCTTGTGCGTGCTTCTTGGAGGATGGTGACATTATCAGCTGAGAGGGAAAAACAGTGGAGGAAGAGACAATGTGCAGGAGCGAATCTAGAGTTCCACTTTGGTTTAAGATGTCTGCAACATCTAGTGGACAGACTGCAAGGAGGGGCTTAGATACGCATGTGTGGAGGATAAAAAGAAATCTAGGTTGGAGAGAACTGTACGGGAATCACTGGCACATAGACTGCATTTAAAGCCACAGAAACACATCCTAACATCATCTATTGAAAAAAAGAGAGAGAGGGCTCAGAACGAAAACCTGGGTAATTCCAATACTGCGAGAATGAAGAAGACTTTGCAAAGGAGCCCGAAGAGACAGGTCCAGATGGAGGGAGAAAACTAGCTTTGTCTAATGAGAATTTTATTCAGTGACACACCAAGTGAAAGCGGAACACAGTGAAGGCAGTCTATTCCGAGTACAGACACTAGGCACATGGTCTGGAAGTAATCTTAAAACCATAATAAAACCTATTAAAAATCAGCCTGGCTGAGATTATCACCACACCCCTGCACTTCTAAACAACGTCAGTGATACAATATTCTTGCCTAAAAAACTCTCGTTGGTCTAAGTACTAAATAATTTTTGTGGTTATTGCATGCTTTCATAATAAATGTTTAAACTTCATATTATCATCACTTGTTTCTTCTTTATTCCGTAATAAACAATATATTACATGGAAGCTAATTTGGAGAACTCCTTGAAGACCAGTGCACAGAAATTTGAACAGACGGTCATTAACTATTCAACAAGAAGATGTGAGGAAATAAACTATACAGAAAAAAATCACATTGCAAAGACTGCTAGAGAAATGACAAAAGATGCTAGGTTCTATTGCCAGAAGAAATCAAAGACAATGTCTGCCTCATTTTCACCAAGAGCTGGACACATATTAAAGCAATAGATCAAATAATGTCAATGTCTGCTGTTATCTGGCCATTTTATCTGATTCTTGCAAAAGAAAATCTTCAAAAGTTTTTGCCAAACGTAACAGAAATTTATGATGCTGTCAAAGAGAAACTAAACAACAAACACAAAGAGACAGAGATTGGATTAGTGGTTACTAGAGGGGAAGGAGGGAGGACAAAAGGGATGATTAGGCACCTGTTGTGGTGATGGATGGTAATTAGTCTTTGGGTGGGGAACATGATGCAATCTACACAGAAACTGAAATATAATGATGTATACCTGAAATTTACATAACATTATAAACCAATGTTACCTCAATTTAAAAAAAAGAAACTTTGTATTACATTTACAGACCATATGTATATATAAGTTTCCCTCTTCAAAATATATTAGTGAAAAGTATTAATTTATCTTTTTGTATAATTTTATTAAAAAATGTTTTACTCCTAATTGTATTCAAATAAAGAAGATTTCACCATCTGCACTGGCCATTTATTATATTCCTTTCATTTCATAATTACTACTGAAATAGATATGCTGTATAGAGGGGAAAGAAGATGCTAACTGATATGCTCTGGACATCAAATATGTTACACATGCTACTCATTTCTACTGACTGGCAACAGGGAATATCAAAGACACGTCTAGGTAAAGCATGTTCATGAAGCTAAGCAGCTAAATCTGCTTTGAAAATTGCTGGTGTGTGTGTGAGTGTGTGTGAGTGTATACATATATATAGTTTTCCTTGGGGGGGACAGGACTTAGTTAATTACCCCGCCAAGGGACGGGGTACATCCACGTTAGAAGTTTCATTGCAATGGGTTTCTAGAACCAGTGTTACTTAAATTTATGATTGTGATTATCAGAACACAACTGGGCAAGTAGATTAAAACCATATCTCAGAATTCCTATTTGGAAAAAGCTGAGAATACAAATCACTGATTCAGAGGGGTAGAGAGGTGGGAGAAACTGCCATCAAAGACCTCTAGTCCAAACTGTGGAGGTGAGTGCAGCTCCCCACACCAGCCAGACCAAAGTCCAGAGGCCTAAGCTGGAGGTGTGGGAAAACAAAATCTGGCCAATACCATCCATAACTGGGTACACATCCTGAATTATTTCACAGGACAATCAATTCATTCACATTTTTAAAACATTCTCTATTTTTTGCATATGGAACTATTCAAAAGGTAAAAACAGTATATAAATAAGTCCCTATTTCTCAGCTATCACTTTCCTTCTATGTTACCAAAGCTATAATTGCTCCCAGTCTAGTTTGAGAGGCAAAGCGAAAAGACTCAAAACAGTTTACAGTCAAAAAGATATGGTTAAGGACGTGGAAGCAACCTAAGTGCCTGTCAACTGATGATTGGATAAAGAAGACATGGCATACACACTCACACACACACACTGGAATACTACTCAGCCACAAAAAAGGATAAAATTGTCCCATTCACAACAACATGGATGGACCTTGAGGGTATTACGTTAAGTGAAATAAGCCAGATAGAGAAAGAAGAACTCTGTATGACTCCACTCATAGGTGGAAGTTAACATAGAGACAAAGAGAACTGATTGGTGGTTACCAGAGGAAAGGGGGGGTGGTGGGAGGGCACAAAGGGTGAAGTGGTGCACCCACAACATGACGAACAATAATGTACAACTGAAATTTCACAAGGTTGTAAACTATCATAATCTTAACAGAAAGCTAAAAAAAAAAAAAAAAAGATATGGTTAAGGAACTAAATGGAGGGCTGGGACCCTCCACAGGTGCAGAGAAGAGGAAAAAGGGGAGTCTCACCTGCCCTCCACGCCCCAACCAAACTGGTTTTCTCACGTGCTGGTCAATGTACAGTCAAAGGTGCATGATAAGCACAACTTTCCCTCTTGCCTGCCTCTCATCCGCCATCTGAGTCTGGTGTGCTCTCCAAAACCCAGATCAAGATTTCTTTCCTTCAAGAGGCCTTTCATTCACTGAACCTTGCTTGGTGTCCTCATTTGTTAAATAAAGAGAAGAGCACCTACCCTATAAGGCTGAAACAAGGCAACATGTTAAATGTTAAATCGCACTGTGTGGAAAACAGAGTGGAGTGTGCAAAAAACACCTTTGTTCCACTTTCCCCTCCCCTCCTGGGTTTAAGGGGAACAGGAGAGCCTACACTTAACGGTTTTTAAACAACGCTGAACTTTTTAAAAACTATAGTAAGCATGGAAAGAACACAAAAAACTATGAATCATCTTCAGTTAGGTTCCATGTTAAGCCTCTGGCTGCTCTAAGACACTATATTGGTTGGAATCTGTGCATTACTAACATCAGTGGTTCCCTTCACATAAGTTTATTTTAGAATTCACTCCTAACAAAGGCTTGATTTCCTCAGAAGGTTTTCCCATCTTGGAATCAGTTAAGGGTAGGATGGTTTCCTTTTTATCTTGATTGCCAGGAAGCTCATTAGGTTGACCCTAATGCTTCCTTTTTCCTGTGATCCTGATTTTCTATTTTCACCAATTTTACTTATTTATGGGGTGGCTCGATTTTGTTTCTCTACACCTTCCATCTTAGGCTATTAACTTTGGTCTCATCATTCTAGGTGACTTTTGGTAAAAATGACATTATCAACTCACCAGTGCCATCAGCGAAACCTTCACCAAAATGGGGGAGGGCTAAACATTTGAGATTCATTACTAAGAAACAGGCAAAAGCCAGACATAGGCTGTTTCCACTCTTCCCCACCGAGAGACCTTAAGAAGGGGGTACTATCACTTACTGAGTATCTGTTTCATGCCAGCAATTGTCACTTTCTTTAACTTACTCAATTTAAACAACACCTTTAAGATATTAACCTCATGTTTTTGGTTGAAGAAATCAAGCCTCAGAAATGCCAAGTCAAAAAAAAAAAGAAATGCCAATCATGTATGTCAACAAGCGCAGTAAGTGGCAGATCTAGGATTTCAACCTAGGATTGCCTCAAGTCCACGCCTTTTCTAAAAGGGGACGCTTCCCCCCTCTCCCCACCCTCACTCCTGCTTTTCCACCTCGGCACTCAGAGATGAGAACTGTCTTCTGGTCTACAGGCCCAACCCTGCCTTACAGCACAACCTCCAAGCACTCACTCACTCAGTGATTTACTGACAATCTACGTGCCTAGTGCCATCCTAAGGCTGCAGGGTGACAGCCCAGGACTTACAATCTAGAGAAAGTAGACGGACAAGCAGCAAGTTACAAGGAAAAAAAGAAGACAATTTCAGACACTGCTACAAAGAAAATAAAATAGGGTTATGAGAGAGTAATTGGGAGGGCCTGCTAACTTGAATGAACGAACAGGGAAGGCCTCTTAGAGCTGAGACTAGAAAAACAAGGTGGCACTAAGAAGGCAAACATCTGGGGCCAGAGCTCTGGCAGCAGAGGTAAGAGCACTGCAAAGAAATAAGTTCAAGGATCTGAAATGAGGCCAGCAAGGTTGGAGCACAAAGGGAGCAGAGGGAGGACGTTGGAAGGAAAAGCAGGGGCCAAACCAGGGACGGCCCTGCGAATGACAAGGAGTTTAGATTTTACTAAATGTCACGGGATGTCTGCAGAACATGTCTGTGTGTATTAACACACACAAAATATAAGATATACCACTGTTAAGTCTACAGCTCAGTGGCATTCAGTATATTCACACTGTTGTATTTGAGAGGTTTTTAAGCAGGAAAGTGAAGGCATTTGATTTAAATCGTAGAAAATAAAGAAAGGAACAGATTGCGTGTGACCAGATCCCCAGAGGTGAAATCCAGAGGTGTGTATTTAGTCCTTGCTAAGAATCTATAAAAATTTACTTAATATAGGAGCCATATGTATTACTACAAATAATCAGTGAGTTATCAACAAAGTAAATTAAAAACCAATCGTCAACTTGGAGTAATGGCAGCAGCTTTTCTCCCAAGTTTTCTGAGTACTTAGAAGCTAGAAGACACAAAAGGAAAAGAAGTAAAGGTCGAGTGGAGAAAAGCACAAAGAGAAAGACCCTTCAGGGCGTTTTCGGGTGTGATCTCTGAAACATTTTGAAGTTCTGCCTCTCCCACAAGAGACAGCGCCTAGACTCCAAGAGTGAACAGCTTCTAGCACTGCAATGGCAGCCTCTTCCCTACTCGCAGGTCTCACATTTGAAGGGAAGAATTTACGCAAGAAAAAAGAGTCCATCACAACCATTCACATTGTTTTGCGTTTAGTTTTGTTTTTTTGGAAGATTAACCCTGAGCTAACTACTGCCAATCCTCCTCTTCTTGCTGAGGAAGACTGGCCCTGAGCTAACATCCGTGCTCATCTTCCTCTACATTATATGTGGGACGCCTACCACAGCATGGCGTGCCAAGCAGTGCCATGTCCGCACCCAGGATCCAAACCGGTGAACCCTGGGCTGCCAAGAAGTGGAACGTGCGAACTTAACCATTGTGCCACCTACGTTGTTTTAATGTTTAATCGTATCTGAAACCACTGTGTAAGACTAAAGTTACTGAATGGTATTAAGAATCTTACTCGAGAATTCCTAGTATCTCATTCGTGTGGTCACATTAAAATTGGATAGTTCTGCTTAAAGAAATTGAAGATATGGCTTCCTACTGTCACGTAGAAATTCAGAAAGGAGCAGAAATTCTTTGCTATAAAGGAACTGAAAATGCTTTCAGGGATTCCCCCTATTCCACCAAGTCATTTTACAAAGATCCCAAGGTCAGGAGTTAGGTTATGCCAAGGTCGAAGAAGTGCCCTCAAAAGAAGAAATGTGATGCGTTACTAATGATTCCCAGAAACCACTGGGCTTGCTGTTATTGATAATTAATCATAAAGTTAAGCAGAATGGGACCTAACACAAGAAACTTAGGTTGCTCTTGGGTTCCGTAACTAAAGTCCACTATACGGAGGAAGGCACAGACATACAATAGAGTCCACTAACTTTCAAGACTTCCCCACGTATTCCTAATATCCTGCTAACAGTAATGCAATTAATATTATTTTCAACATCCAGGTAGTGTTTCAGATGCCAAATTTTAAAAATACGAAGTTTGATCGTTCATCCAATAATACTATAGACTACAACTCACTGGTAAACATACAGATTTTAAAAGTATACAAAGTTTTCACTTTTGCATACTCTTCCTATGGGAAGTAGTAAGAGCAGAGTTTATAAAATGGTCACCTAGTAAGAGCAGATCAGGAGTTAACAAAAGACTGCAGATCTTAAACGTTCATTCTAATAACTGTTTTTGCTAATAACCTGTTATAAGCCTTAAATTCCCCAGCCTTAAAACAAACCAACCTTACTAAGCAGACTTCAAAAACAAAACAAATAGAAAGGCGTTTTGTAAATATCCACCCCAAGAGTCTGGGATACTTTTTAAAAATTATTATTCTCTTCCAAAAGCCTAAAATGCTAGTTATAGGTGGGTCAGGAGCCCTGACCTTTTCCTGACGGGTTTTTCTCTTCCCACTAGGGAGAGGCAGCTGCCGCTGCGGGAGGGAGAAGGAAGGGCACAGAGGCTTTCTCAGTAAGCCAGGCTTCCCGAGCTACCAGGGCAGGAGCGGGGAGCCAGGACTCAGGCTGCCCTGCGTGGGTCACGGGGTTGACGTGATGACTTGGGATGGCTTCTTGACTCTACGGGAATTCACATTTATGGCATTTCTACTTAAGTGATAAAAAGCATGGTAAAAATGGAGCATGTGGAAAACCCAGAGGAATGGCAAATGGTCAGGACTAGTAATTCTTGGTAAATCTGAACTTTCTGAATATACAAAACTGAGAAAAAACGTAATACTTTTCGATTTTCTTTCAATTTACTGGTTCTAATCTCAATGGTTTTCTGGTCTCAGAGGCTTTACTCTAGGCACTTCCATATCACGTCTAACAGAAGATAATTAAAGTATCAACAGCCTTTAGTGAAGGTCACAATTTCTAACTACCTGAAACCTCAAGATTTTTAAAGCCTTCTAGGTTTCTCTCAAAACTAAATGTTTTACATGCAGCTTTTATTATTAGCTTCCTTACTCGATCCAGTGATTTAGTTTACAATAAGCTCTATGAAGTAGGACGCTGCTGCTACACAACAGTAAGGAATACCTAGGGAAAAAATACGGAATACCATGCCCTACATCTGGCAGCATTTACATGCTCATTAGTTATATGCCAGGGAAAAAAACAAAAACAAGCACGGGCCTTAAAACAACAGATTAAGAATATTCAAGACAAAGGTGAACTGTGATTAAAGACTGAAACGTGTTCAGCCTTAAACTAAGTCTCATTTCCACATGTGCAAAAATACGTAGGCCCTGCTGTGTTATCTACACAGGGAATATTACTCAGCCATATAAAGGAATGAGAAATATTCTACAGCATGCATGAACCCCGAAAAAAGGCAAAGCTAGACACAAAAGGCCACGTATTGTATAACTCTATTTAAATGAAACATCCAGATTAGGCAAATCCAGAGACACAAAAAATAGATTAGTGGTTGCCAGGGGTTGTGGAGTGAGGGACACGGGGAGTGACTGCTATCAGGTATGGGGTTTCCTTTTGGGGTGATGAAAATGTTCTGGAAGTAGATAGTACTGATGACTGCACAACCTGGTGAATATCGTACAAACCACAGAACTTTGTGTGGTGTGAATTATATCAATTTTTTAAAAAGCAGATGTTTAAGGACCTTTTCAAGTCTAAAACTACTGTTATACAACTACTAGATTCCCTCGCTGCTGTTCCACTTAAAAGACGGCACCATCACAGATCACTGTTATTCCCTGGGAAATTAAAGGAAGATGGCATACGAGATAAACCCATAACCCCCAAATATTTGGTTTCCAGAAACATGCTGGCTGCCACTAAATGTTTTCTTTTCAAACCAAGAGGCACTAACAAGTAATCAATCCCACGAATGCCCTAGCTATACAATTATTTTGATAAGGACTTCAGGCAACTAGGTTTGGGCTTAGGCAAAACTGACACCTCACAGCTCATTCCGATCTAAGGAAGGGACTGTTTCAATGGCACTAGTGTGGTTAGAGCTCTCCCGTCTGGGATCGAATGAGATCAGGTACATGAAAGCAGTGAGCACACTGCCACCACAGTCCACACACACACACACACACACACACACACACACACACACACACGGAAATTTAGCTCCACAAGGAACCTGCTTTGATTTCTTCCCGTTATCCAAGATCTCCTTATTTCAGTTCTCAAAATCAAACTATACTCAGAATTCGAACTTGGGACACGCATAGTTAATTACAAAGTATTTAGCTTCTTTTTGGTAATAATTCCAAACCCCAAGGACAAGGAGGCGGCACAGTTTACCACATCGCATGTCTGAAGAAAGAGGCCATCCTATGTTACTGCCATGCAATCTTCAGAAGCCTCTCTATGCAGAGTACTCTGTAACATGCCAGACGACTCACTCTTCCAAGAAATGGACATTGAAACAACCCCAAACCATGCAACCCTGTAAGCAGTCACTGGCACGGAAGTAATGACTTTTGAATGTTGACTTAACTGTAAATTAACTCCCATTAGTCAGGCCCCTCAGACTTTCAGCCCCGCCTGGCTGGCCAGACACCTATCATTTCATCAAGTAAAGGCATACATTACCAGTTTTCTGGGTATGGAAAAGTTGGTTAGCAATTTGATTTAGCACGTCAAATGCAGAGTATGTAAAATGTTTTTCCTAAAGTGCTATAAGACCAACATGACCATACCACGAGAAAAAGCAAAATTACTTTCAGATGCTTCATGTATCTTTACCTAAACACCTAATTTCAAAGGGTACCCTGAATTCAGCCAACTCATGGTTAACCAACGCTCCCCTCCCTTCTTCCATTCCTAGTAAGGGGAAAACACGGCCTTTAGTCCCAACGTGATTAGTGTGCAATCATTCCGAGCTACCAAAACACACAGGAGGCATCCTGTGACAACCCCGAAGTCCACGGCGGGCGGGCCCACGGAGACGCGGCCCCGCTCCGCCCCGCGTCAGCCACCCCGCCTCGGGGCCGTCAGGACGCGGCCAGACCAGCTACTCAGCCCAGGCCGCCCGTCTGCGACTACTATTCGTTCTACTATTCGTTCCTCTCAATCTCAACCATCTCTAACGCTCAAAAGCCACCTTCTGAGGCCCTCTCCACTTCTGAGAGCTCAGGAAATTGCGCTAATGGAATCACAGGGGAGGGTCCGCCGACTCACTCAGCACTCGTCAGTCCGCACAGGCCCCAGGTTAACCGGCTGGCACAACTCCTCTCGGTCTACTTACTACCGCAGCAACTTAACCAGAGAGCACGCGCACCAACAGGACAGACAGAACACCAGCCTTCGACAGCCACACGGCAACAGCCGAGAGGAGCGCAGGGACAGACAGGCTCCCTGCGCCCTAGCCGTTTCTCCTGGCCTTCGTTCAAGCCGCACTAGAGTGGGGAAAAAGCGCTTTCTGGCGCCCTCCTTTGCAGGGGCACAGTAGGGAGACGGCTTTCCGTCACGCGGAAGGCTGCAGGCGGAAAGACCCGGCTCCTCGGCCCCGCGGCAAACGCCCGCAGAGAGCCGAACGCTCACGGAGACACGACTTCGCCGACCCGAACGGCCGAGCAGCGCCCGGGCCGCGACGGCGGGGACAGGCCCGGGGGTGGGGGGAGCCGCCGCGCCTCGCCCCGCCTCGCCGGCAGCGCACAGCGGGGAGGGGGCAGCGGGCAGGCTCGGGCCGCGCGGCGCGTGGAGCCCGGCCCCCGCCCCGCCCCGCCCGCGGAGGCGCCTCCGGGGAGCAGTTGCGGGTCCGGGGGAGGAGCGGGGGCGGAGCGGGGCCGCGGGCGCCCCCCAGAGGCCGGCGGCGGCCGGGCCGGGCGCGAGGGCTGCGCTCCCCGCCAACGCCCGCCCCGCGGCCGCGGCCCCGTGGGGAGCCGGCCTGGGGCGAGGTTGGGGGGGGAGCCGCCCGGAGGGGGGGGGCTGGCCTTGGGGGCGGGGGCCGGACAACGGGCCTGCTGGCGGCCGTTGGCCGAGCGCGCCCCGCCCCGCCCGCCGCGCAGCCGCCCCGCCCGGGGAAACTACGCCATTGCGGCCTAGCGGGCGGCGCCGCGCCTCCGCCGCCATCTTCGGCCGCCGCCGCCCGCCGCCCCCGCCGCGGCCCGCCATCTTTTGGGGCCGCCATACTTGCCCCGCGAAGAAGATGGCGGCGCCCATCACACACATAAAACATGGCTTCCCTTCAAAACAAAAACATCCCGGGGGCCGGCGCGCGCCGGCGCTCACCTGAGGACCACATGGTGACCGAGAACTCGCCCTCCAGGGTCTTGATCTGCACCTGCTTCTGCTCCCACTTCTTGTTGCCCGCGTCCGCGCCGCCCGCCGCCCCGGCCCCGCCGCCGAGGTAGCCCTTCTTGCCGCTCTTCTTGCCGCCGCCCTTCTTGACGCGGCCGCCGCCCGACGACGACGAGCCGCCGCCGCCGCTCTTGCCGGCCGCCGCCACGGTGACCAGCGTCTGCTCGATGTAGTCGTCGTCGCCGCCGGCCGGCGCGGGCACTGGGATCAGGATCTGGTCCTCGAAGCCGTCCTCGGCGCGCAGCCCGTCCGAGTCGTCGCCGCCCACCACCTCCTCGCGCGTCTGCACAAGGATCACCTCCTGGTGGTGGTGCACCTGGGTCGGGTCGTCGGTGACGAGCGGCTGCAGCGCGATCATGGGCGGGTGGTGGTGGTGGTGGTGGTGGTGGTGGCCCGCGTGCCCGTGGCCGCCCCCGCCGCCGTGGTCGCCGCCGCCGCCGTCCTCGTCGTCGTCGTCGTCCTCCTCCTCCTCGCCCACCACCGTGGTCTCGATGGTCTCCACCGGGATGGTCTCCACCTCGATCTCGTGCAGCTCCACGATCTCGGCCGGCATCTCCGAGCCGTCCGTGGCGATGTAGAGGGTGTCGCCCGAGGCCATGGCTGGGGGCTCCGCCGCCACGGCCGCGGCGGCCTCGGCTCCGGGGCTGCGGGCGGGCGGGCGAGGAGGCGGCCAGCCGTGGGGAAGGAAGGCAGAAGGAGGAAGGCGGCGGGCGGGGGGAGAGGGGGCGGGCGGCGGGGGGAAGGGGCGGGCGCGGCGGCGGCGGCGGCGGGCTTCCCCGCCTCCTCGCCTCGGTGCGCCCCGCGCTCGCTCGGCCGCTGCTCGCCCCGGCGCCCCGCCTCGCCGCGCCTCGGCCGCCCGCTCGGGCCGCGCCTCCTCCCGCCCTCCGGGCCGGCGCTCCGCTTCCCCCTTCCTCCTGCGCCTCCGCCTCTTTCCACACAAATACCAACTCCTCACCCCAAGCCCAGATCTCGCCGCCGCCGCCGCCGCCACACTCCGCTCGGGCTCGGCCTCGCGAGACTTCCGCTCGCCTCGGCCCGCCCAGCCTCGCTCCCACTCGCCCGCTCGCCCTCTCGCTCCTCCTCCTCCGCCAATCGATCGGCCCATTCGCCGCCGCGGCCCCGCCCACTCGCCCGGGCTCCTCCCGGATTGGGGCCGACGGGACGGCCCCCGCGCGCGCTGGCTGGCCGCGGCGCGTGACGTCAGCGCGCCGCCGCCGCCGCGAGTCGCACGGCTCCCGCCCTCCGCGGTGCAACAGCGGCAGACCCTGCCGCCCCGGGCCGCCCTCGGGAGCGGGGCGTCACCGCTGCAGCCGCCGCCTCGGGAGCCGGTGAGCGGTCCGAGCGGGCCCCGGCGCCGCAGGGGAGGGCGCCTGCGGGCGAGGACGGGGCTGGCCGCGCGCGGGGTCGGGGCTCGGGGGCCGCGCGGGGGAGCGGGCGGCATGCTCGGGGCGGCCCGGGCGCCCAATAAAGTCTGCTTTGACGAGAAACGCCTGTGCCTCCTTCTTCGCGTCGGGCGGCGTTTGCTCTGGGCGCCTGGTGGCGGGCGGGCGCTGGCAGCGGGGCGAGTGAGGAGGGCCGGGCGAACAAAGGCGGGCTGGCAGCGGAGGAACATGGCGGCCGCGGCCCCGCACCTCGCTGCGAGCACCCGGTCCCCGCGCCAGGCCCGGGGCCGAGCGCAGGTGGGCCGCGCGGGGGGCGGGGCCGGCGGAAGCGGCGCGCGGAGCCCCCGGTCCACCGTTGGGAGGATGTCCGTTATCTTTTTGTGACCCGCGGAAACCTGCGACGGAGCCGTTGGGTGCCGCTTCCCTGCAGGTCTCAGACGTGCAGTGCCGGCCGTTCGTCGTGTAGCTCGGCCCTTTCATCCCACATTGCCTTCTGAGCTTTCTTTTCTTCCTTCTCCCGCCAATCATTGTCTCCCTTGACCACCGTCTCCACCCGTGTCTCCCTTTCGTGGATGCTGCTCCTTGTGTCCACCAGGTTTCGCGTTTGTCTCCTACTTGAAAATTCCGCGGCTTTCCCGCCGTCTTCTCCATTATACCTGCAAGAGAGCCTAGATTTTTCTTGGTACGAATTAGCGTCAAGTTAAACCTTCCTGAGTAGCCAGCTATAGTGCAGCCAAGTGGTTTTGCCGTTGTTCACCCTTTGGTCGACCTGGCAGTTGGTTTAAAGCAATAGAAATAAAGATTTCCTGATTTTCAAGAAAAACCGAAAACCTGGGAAGGTGTGTCCGTTGTACTTGTTTAGCCAATTTAATGCCCTTGTAAGTTTCTGGAACGTATGTGTTCTCAGCGTTTACTCCTGTCCGGGGTTAGTATTCTTGCAGTTGAAGCCTGATTATTCTGAACTGTGATACTTTAATCTTAGATCCAACTGGTGTTTTTGAGAACATAGTAAAGTTTATGCATTCTGACTAAAAAGTGACGTAAGTCTGATTTAGTCCCTCCTTATTTCTAAATGGCATTGGACTTGGTTTTTGAGAATATTAGTGTAAGGAGTGAAAAATTAGATCATTTTTGCTTTGACTCTGAGTTTTAAAAACTTGAGTAATTCCCCCTTGGAGTGCTGCACCCACACAGTTTGGCAACGTCAAAGCTGTTGAAATAAGTCATTTCTGGCTTTATAGCTTATAAATTCTGCATAAATATTTCACAAATGAAAACCAGTTGTGGGAGAATTTTTATGTGGCTTGATTAATTTCACTTTCCCCACTCTCTAGTAATTGATGGGAAAATGTCTTTGCAAAGTAGTTGATACTTCCCCATAGATGCAAGACAAGTGGGGGAAGTACTCAGTTAGGCAGCCTAGCTTCTGAGTCATGGATCCGCAGGGGTTCACCGTCAAGTGCAGAAAGCTGGAGAGGGTTTAAAGCCAGGGTAAGGGTGACGGGTGTGGGAAAGCACTGACATGCTCCTCAGTGCTGTCCTAGCACCTGCTCCACGAATAGCTTTTAAAACTTGCCCCCGAGCATGTGACCTGTTAGATAGTCCTGGAGTTTTCTGCGGTGGGAGATATTCTTGTCTTCCACTCTTCAGCCCTGGAGCATCTTATGACTAGACACGCGAAGACACCGTGCTGTATTGGCTCCAGCCTGCTCGCACTTGCTGCTAAAGGTGAAAACCAATTTAGAAGGACAGGTTAAGTTGTAGTTTCAGAGCCACGGAACACTAAAAGTGGGGATAATTTCACTGCTTTTATTCTGTTCTGTTTTGGCAGAACGAATTGGGCCAATGAGCCATCCCTCTGAACTTTCTAGAGGCCTTTTGTCTTGGCAACAAGACAAATGGTTAATGTCCATTAAACTGGTATTTCTCTTACACCGGTGCTTGGGTGCTTTTGCTCTTCCAGCTTCGAGGGCAAAGGCCGTGGTTGTGTCCATCTACAGCTCAATGCTTTGTGTGTACGTGGAATGGCTGCTTTTTGGTTCATCAACAAAATGAAGTTGAAATGACAGAATTCTGTCATAGTCCTTGATCGTGTCAAGTGTCTCAAAAGCTCCGACTTTGTACAAAGCTTCCAGTCTACTGCAGAAATGAATGTCAACAACTATAGGAAAAAGTAGAATATTGGAAGAATTATAAGAGTTGTGCAGAGCTTTCTAGAATCTGAGAAGTCAGAACTCACTAATGGCTGAGGAGATGTGCTGACAACTTTCCTGCAAGGACTGTGTCCTGGGGCTGGCCCGGTGGCGTAATGGTTAAGTTTCCATGCTCTGCTTCGGTGGCCTGGGGTTCACAGGTTCGATTCTGGGTGTGGACCTACACACTGCTCATTTAGCCACGCTGGGCGGTGTCCCACATACAAAATAGAGGAAGATTGGCACAAATGTTGGCTCAGGGCTACTCTTCCTCCCCCCCCAAAAAAAAGGAGTGTGTCCTTCGGCCACCTGATCAGGACAAAGATATGGACTGTTAGTCACAGCTCTTTTTAGGTCTTCTCACTCCCCTCATTTCCAAATGGTTTCTTTCCTGTAACCTCTGTTAAATGCGTGAACTTGGTTTTAAGAGCATGTGGTTTAGGAAGCGACACGGTTGGAGGGTGGGAGTGGATGGAACAATAAAGGGTGAGTTAAAAGGTGCCTGGTACCTCTCTGTCTGCCTTTTTCAAGCAGCACCTTGTATGTTGAATACAAGCAGGCTAACCTTTAAATGTAGTTCTACTGTATTTCTATTTCTAACAGATTGGGAATGATTCAAGTAATGGACTCACGCTAAGTAATTTCCCTTGCTACAAACTAATTTGGCTGCCTCCCGAAATTGCTTTTTGGTTGGTTTAATGTGGAGTTCTTGTGAAGTTACTTCAAGTAGGCCGTTGGTGCTCTGCGTCGGCTACAGTATGGGGAACGTTAGAGCTGGCAGGACAGTGCAGTCCCTTTGCTTTGCAGTCAAGGGAACCAGCTGAGAGAGGAGCCGCTCAAGGTCACACTGTAAGGTAGTGCTGGGGCTGTTGCTAGAGCCGGCATCTCCTGCCTCTGTGAGGCTGCAAAGCCTCTGCAAACTCAGGGGGTAAGGTCCCTGTTCCAACTTGGAGCCATGCTGAGTTTCCAATGAAATATTTAGAAAAGTCAGCATGAAAATTCATGTTTATGCATCTAAATTATTTACCTTTAGTCTGGACCAATACAAGTTAAATGACAAACGATAGGTGTGTACATGTTTTCTTAACCTTCTAAACCATAGTTCTTCTAAAGGGGTACTTCCCCTCCCCCCACTGATGCATCTGTTACATTTGGAGCTTAAATGGTGAAATCCCCTAACTGTGCGTGTTTCTTAAGCTTACATCATTTGTGCCACATTTTATGTCCTTTACTTTTATAAGGTCTTAGTCAAATTCTTCTTCTGAGGCTGAGTGGTTTATTACAGTAAATGAATCTGGTTGTTGCCCAGAAATCTAAGGAAAGTTGAAGTCTTTAGTAGTAAATTGGCCTCGTTTTTCTCTGCCTTGCTAGTGGAATGCCCCTCCACAGGGGAACCTGAACCAGCTTCTTTGTACTACAGTTCCTCCTGGCACCTGCGCGTCCGAAAGAACGCAGCCCGCGCACTTGCACAGAATAAGTAGGAAATTCTCTCCACCCCAGTAACTTTCGTGACCACACTTGTTTCACAGCATACTTACTGCAGCGCAGAGGTACAGGAAGTTGACTTACTCACCTACTTCTGTGTGCGCGGCGGGTGAGTGCGGTAGAATGGGAAGCGCTTACGTGGACTGGGGAGCTCCTGGTCCCCTGCGAGTGGGTGGGACCACAGGCTGTCTAATGGGGATATTCTGCTTGTGGGAGAGGAATGACCTAGGGGATTAGGTGAGCCCAGCTGTTCCCTCCCGATCTGGAAGGCCTGCTCTGCAGAGCCTGGAGCATACAGCCACGGACACCATGACGTGCCTGTGTTCACGGGGCCTGCAATCCAGAGGGGAGATAGGCCGTGAACACATAGATAGCTCACAGATACTGGTCTCAGTTCCAGTCGTGGCAAGTCTGAGGAAGAAGTGGAACATTCGGGGACAAGGGGACCTAGCCCTGCCTAGTCCAGTAGAGGCCTTCCTGAGGAAGGGACATTTCAGCGGTGGCTTGAGAGGCGACCAGACCACAGAGTACGCAATCCAGCACTTGGCTACAGACCAGCCTTTTTTTGTTTTTTTCCTTAATGTTAACCTCTGTGTGAAAAGGGAGTAGGTGAAATAAATCAGGTGATAAACT